GAATCCCAGCTCCCCTCGCTCCAGCTCCTTCCTGCCTCTCTGTCTCCTGGCCTCTCCCAACAGGGTTTGCAGGACCAGGACCGAGGCCAGGGAGGGGACCAGGAGCAGAGGAAGGGTGGTGGGGACGGAGAGGCAATTCAATTTCCAGAGTCGTCCTGGCAATTCAGGCTGTCGTGATAAGAAAGCCATTTCCCAGTGACAGGGCGGCTGCTGATCCACACCCGCTTCCCATTCCAAGGAGCCTCCTCCTCTGCCTGTGCTCGCCATCCCAGGCCTCGGGCGGGTCCCTCCACGGGCACCGAGGAGCATCTGCATGGCTGGGACAAAGGCCCGCCCACGGGGGAGAGGACGTGAACTCGGGCGGGAACGAGGCTCCACCTCTGACGCCCTCATCCCTGGGGCTGCGCACGGCTGGGGTCTAACTGAGCCACCACCGGCCCTGGAGATACGCAGGGTCGCCCCCATTTTGCAGATGGGGAAAGTGAGGTTTCCTGAAGCGGTTCCATGGTTCACAGAGGCCAGAGCAGGCACCTAAAGGAAGGGCAGGTGACGTGAGCAGGGCGGGAGGGGAGCCCAAGTGTGGGAGAGGAGCCAGAGCCCCGGGTGGGGTGGGCCTGGGAAGGGGGGGCGGAGGCTCTTCCTCCGCCCTCTCTGCTCCCCCTGACCAGCCAGTGCACAGCAGGGAGGGCGTCCCCAGCCAGCGGGGGTCGAGCTCCAACCTGAGAGACAGCAGCCCTGGGCCTCCAGCCGGACGGAGCCTCAGGGCAGCTCAAGCTACCAGGCCGACCCCTGGAGTCCCACTCCTAGCTGGACAGGTGGCCTGTGAGATACAGAGCTAGGGAACATGGGGACAGGCAGATACAGAGGTGCTGGCCAGAGACCGGGGCGGGCAAGGCTTCAGTCAGGGACACAGCTGCCCATTGGAACCAGGAACCTGACAAGACCCCACCAGGCCCGGCCCCAGGGGCCACGCGCCTCCCCAGGAACCTGCTGGCCCCTTCACAGACCTGGAGGGTCCTCCAGCTGGGCTGGGCGGGGGCGGCTGGACCCTGCTTCCTGATGGGCGCTGCACACGGGCGGGAGGGGGCAGGGGGTGCTGGGCTGGGTGGACCCTTCTTGCTTGTCCCCCAGGGGCCCATGGGGGCAGAAGTGGAGGGGGGAGTTCAAGCCCCCTGCAAGTCTCCAGGATGCCACAGGAGGAGAGGTGGCAATGTGGGGGAAGAAGCTGGGTGGCCTTCGTCCCATTTGCTTCCCCAGGAGGAACATGGGCAGGGGACACAAAGCAACGGACAGTCCTTGATCTGGGTTGTCTCCCTCGGCATCTCCTCCTCCCCGTTGCTGACTCTCGGGCTGCTGGGGAGAGGTGGCAGGGCTACGAGGCCAGGCGGGACCTTTGTCCTCTTCCCACCTGCCCCTCATGGCCCGGGTTTGGATGGGGCTCCTTGGCTGTGGGAGGCGCAGAACAGCTGGTAGCTGCGGGCTGTGGTGGTGGCGAGGGGACTTGCTCTTGCAGGCAAGCTAATCTCATTTGGCTGCTGCAGCCGCACACCCGCGCTGCATGCTAAGTGGCCTGAGGCAGCATCGGGCCCCAAACAGACTCAGGGGAGGCGCCTAGGCCTGTGTGCGCCCAGGAGAGCTGGAGGCCTCCCTGACTTGGAGGAGAAGCCACATTGGACGGGGCGGGGGGCTGTGGGTGGGAGGGCACATCCTGTGGGGTCCGAGGTTACTCCCAGGGTGGGTCACCTGCCAAAGATGGGGCTCCAGGGTGGCCCAGCTCCTCCCAGTTCTTGGACCTCTCCTGTGGGTTCCTGGGTGGTGCCGGTGGATCCCTGAGCACGTGTCCCTGGGCCAGGGCCCCTAGAGAGCAAGGTGGCAGGATCGCGATTGAGGGGCTGGCTGCTGTGGTCACCTGAGCCAGGAGACAAGGAGCTGGTGGGAGACTCTGGGAGGAGGAGGAGGCCGCTGTGGCCGGGAGGAGTCCTTGAGTCTGCAGCCCCCTGGGTCTGGCCTGTGCTCACCCAGCTGCCCTGAGCCGCCCTGAGCTGCCCTGAGCTGCCCTGAGCCGCCCTGAGCTGCCCTGAGCCCAGCAGGGCGTGTTTGGAGGGAAGGCCAGGAAGGGCCCAGCCGAGAAATGACCTAAAACATCTTTAATTTGGGGGAGGGAGGGAAGGGCCAGGGCGAGGCTGGGGGTTCGGGCTGAGCCAGGCTGGGCGCTACCACCCGCCGTGCCTCCTGAGGGCAGCTGCACAACTGCTGTCGCGCCACGTCCGCGGAGCCCCAGGACCACCCTGGGCCACCCGCACTGTAGAGGCCCGGGAGAGTCCTGGAGGCACACGGGGAGCCCGCCTGGCGTCGAGATGGGGCGGCTGCCACGGAGGCCACACCCTGGCAAGACTTGGGGTGAAGCCAGAGTCTGCGAGTGGCTCCAGCGGCCACAGCAGTCACCTAGGTCCCTGCCTAGACCCGGACCCGGTGCAGCCGAGTTCCCAACCCAGGACTCGGGAGCTCAGGTCTTGCTGGCTCCCAGGGGGTTTGGACTGGGGGTGGACCACCCGTGACGGCCGGGAGGGGAAGCCCCCTCCACTTTGCAGCACCCCGAGGCCCCAGCCCCACACGGCCTCGGGAACAGCACGCTGCGCTCGGTGCCGCGGGACTGTGGGCAAATGCCTGGCCTCTCTGAGCCTCAGACTCCGCCTGGAACGTGAGGACAGGGAGCGGTCCCGGGAGCGTCGTGAAGAGCTAAGAAGGCCAAGGACACAAGACGACGGTCACTAGAGACGGAGCGGTGCCGGGCTGCGAGGGTGCTCAGCACATGCCCGTGCCACCTGTCCAAACTAGAGGGCCACACAGCCCACCAGGGCCTGGGGGAGGGTCAGAGGTCGCCCGAGTGCGCCTGCTGGGGGCCACAGGAAGAGGAAAACTGTGGCCCTCGGTGCCATGCTTTGCTGGTCGGGGCTCTCAGGGCCAAGCTGTGGCCAGTGCCAAGTCCTGGGAGCTCCAGGACCACTCCTCGGGCTCACCTGACCACCCCTCTCACTCCTGGGGACCACAGACCGTTTGAAGGAACGTTCTGCTGCTAAGCCTCAGATGTGGGCCGGCGGCCTGGGCTGCTCAGCCCTCTCCACAGGCCCCTCGCTGCACCCCTGCCCACAGGCCCTCCCACCGGCCTGGGTCAGGGCTGGCCCAGCAAGAAAGGAGCTGCCCCCCGCCCCCAGCCAGCTGGAGCCCGGGCCTGGGATGCGGTTCCACGGGCAGTTAAAAGTCCCCCTGGCTGTCTAATTTAATCACAGCTGTGTGCACGGTGACTCTATAAATAATTTTTAGTGCGACATAACCATTATTTCACTAATTGCTTCACACGCACCCCTGGCCTGTGAGATAAATTAAAGTTTGCTGAGTCAGCACCTTTGGCCGCTGCAGCTTTGGGGCTTGGGAAGTGCAGCCCGATAACTGAGCTGTCCCCACAGCCACCTCAACCTGGCACCCCGAGAGCAAAGTGCCCCTGGCATGCAGGGGCAGAGGGTACAAGGAGCAAGAAGCACCGAGGAGAAAGGAGTGAGTAAGGGTCACCCTGTAGGGTTGTGTACGTTGTATCCTGCACAATGGTACTTGCCAAGAGGGTAGGTGGGTGCTGGGATTCAGCCCAAGCCACACCGCATCAATCCAGGTGCCCCGTGCGGGATTGCGTTGGTCCAGATGAAGGTGGCGCTTATTTGTAATTGACACAAAGGCACAGTAGGGACTAGCAGCCCCTGAGCTGACGCCCACCTAGCAGTTGTCAGGGGGAGGAGAGCAGTGTGTGCCCTGAGGACCCCTTTGTGTTAGCTGCTGGGTGGGGACCTGGGTTCTGGGTCTGATGCTGAGTGACCTTGGGCACACCACTTTCCCTCCTGGGCCCCAGTTGATCACGTGCCAATCACCTGAGGCTGGGCCGGGAACTCCCGCCACCCTGCCCCAGGGCATTCCAAATCAGTAGGTGGGCCAAGGGCCTCTCCTGTGGCCAGGTAAGCCGGGGACCACTGGGTTCAAAGGTTTCTTTTCTGCAGGACTCTCCACAGCTCCTGTGCTCAAGAGCAGCGGGAGTCTCAAGGCCAGAGACGCTGTCGCTTTCCTCAACCACCCGCCACACACCACCTCACTCCCCAGCGCCCTTCCCAGAGGGCGGAGGCGCATCCTGGAGGGACAGCAGCCAGGGGCAGCCGCTGGCCCAGTGGGGACCGTGCACCTGGCCGGGAGCTGGCTGCTCTGGAGTCTTTACTTCCCCCTCGAACCCTCACCCCAAACCTGTGATGTGGAGAGCACCCCCATCCCAGAGACGGGACGAGGCCTGGAGCCGGTGTGGCCTCCCCGTCCTCAGGCACCCAGGAGCAGGTGGCCCAGCTCCCCGGGGCCTGGCTCCGGGAACTGGCTCACTTCCCTGGTTCTCAGGGGGCTGTGAAGACTCCACGTTCCGAGTAGCCAGGCCCAGGCTGGGGGGTGACCAGCTCCTCCGGGCCCAACACATGGGGTCCCTCTGCAGCGGCCGCCTTTGAGCTGTCGCCAGGGCGTGTCCCGAGTTTGGGGCCTCTCCTTCCTCAGTCCCCTGGGCCCTGGCCTCACCTGCATGCTGTCCCTGCCAGAATGAAGACCGGTGACAGCCCTCGGCGGTTCGCATCCAGGGAGCCAGAGGAGGAGCTGGGGAGTGGCGGGGACGTGCCTGGGACACCCACCGTGGGTGGGCTTCCTCAGAGGCTGCCTCCGAGGCCGGTCCAGTCTGCTCACCTCCAGCTCATCTCATCCGCCAGCCTGGCCGGCCTGGGGACAGTGACCTCCCCAGACTGGCCTCCCCTTCCAGGGTGAGTCCCTCCCCACAGTCCCAGCCGCCCGGTGACATCTCCCGCCTGTTCACTGTGAGACCCTTGCTCGCCGCCACCTGCGCACCTGCCATCCCAGGCACTGCAGAGACAGCAGGGGACAGAGGGGTGACACCTGTGGAGCTCTGAGAGCAGCAGTCTGCTGGTCCCCGGGCTGCCGGCCAAGACAAGGATGTAGAAGGTGGGGTGCCCAGCCAGGGCGTCCGCAGAGAGAATTGGGGGTCGGTGAAGACCACACGTTTTGTTTCACTAACCCTTAACTGAAGCACAGTGTTTCTCTTTAATTGTGAACGCTGGTGACACGTCATGCCGGTCTTAAGAGTGCCTGTGACTTTGTCCTATCACATTAGAGCTGCTGCAGACCTATCAAAGCCTCATCGGCCGCCATTGCTGCTTCCGAGCCGTGGAGGCTGACGGAGCCAGCGCCAGATCTTGTTGTTGACCGCACTGATAAAGAGGCGCGTCGAGTGTCCTGTCACATTGGTCTGTGACTAGGTGGGAGCTGTGCTGGGTACAGTTGTCTGCCTCAGTGCATCTGTGTGTGTCTTTCTGAGCAATGACAAACATCATTATGGTCCCTGAGGAAGGGACCTGGGGCCCCATGGGTTCCCTCCTGCTTGGGCGCGGGTGGGGAGGGCAGGTGGCAGCAGAGTGGCCAGCAGGGCTCTGGGTGGTGTCTCATCAGCAGCCTGAGGGAGGCTAAGGGGCCTCCGGAGCGTGAGGCTTCCCGGTCAAGTTCACCGCAGCAGGTGGGACCGCAGGGCTGAGGCCTTGGGTGGGAAGGAGCAGCGGCGGCCAGGGTGGCTGGGGAGTGGCCATGGGGGGAGGACAGAGAGGAACGGGGACCGTGTGAGGGAAGGCCCTGTGTTCCAAGGGGCCAGGCGTTCCCGGGTATCCGTAGGAAGGCTCACTCTGGATGTTGGGCTTCAAGTGACAGGACAGTGGGAAGCAGGGACATGAGGGACATGGTGGCCACGGTCAGGGACATGGTGGCCACAGTCATACCATGGTTGAAAATGACAGTGGCCTGGAGCAGGGCAAGCTGTCCCATCCTCATTCCAGATGCTGCGTTTGTTTCTGTCTGGGGACAAGCTCTCCCTTAGTTGCCTAACTGGCCTCAGGCTCACGATCCTCCTGCCTCAGCCTCCCAGTAGCTGTGGCTGGGGGAACGCAGGCTCTCACCACTGCACCCAGGAGGCTTTGTGTTTTGAGGCTGAAGTCGTGGGGACTTTGCTGAATGGAGTGCAGGGACCTTCCCACTGGACGTTGGTTCCTGCTGCTCCCTGGGATGCGCTCTCCAGGTTTCCGCCCCCTGGCCAGCTCTCTCCTCTGACCCTTTGCCCCCACGGTAGAGGCTGCCAACTGCCTCCCTTCTATCCACGTCTCCTTCCCTCCCAACAGCATCTGGGGGAGGAGTGTGCCCAGCGTGGAGGCCACACGTCCCAGGCTCCTTTGCAGTTGGGGGTTGCCATGGAGATCTAATTACAGTCACTGGGCAGGGCTTCCAGGATGGGCTTTTGAGAGGACGCTGACTCATTCTCTCACCCCTCTTCTTCCTCTTGCTGATGGCTGAAAGCCCCTTCCTCCCTTTGGAACCGGCGCCCTTGACCTGGGGTCCTCCAGAGCAGAGCTTCCGCCTGGACCTCCCCCCCTGAGAGAGTAAAGCGCTGGGCTCCGGGCAGTGGTCGCGTCACCAACAGTAGAACAAAGCTCCCACCTGGCGGAGCCACAGACCCAGCTGCTTGTTAGACGGCTCCCGGGCACAGCAGACCCCCAGACTGCACAGGCCAGGGCGGGCCGTCATCCTTTCCCAAGATCTCCTCCTCACTGGGGGACTCCAACACCTGAGAGAAGAGGGGTCTGGTCACTCAAGAGCTGCGACAACCTTCCACCACCCAGCACCACCCACCCATCCATCCGTCCACCTATTTCTCCACTCAGGCATCTGTCCATCCACCCATCATCCATCCATCCACACCTCCCTCCTCCTCTCCCTCCATCTACCTACCCAACCATCTATCTATCCACCCAACCATCCACCCATCCATCTACCCACCATCCATCCATCATCCTCCGCCATCTCTCTGTTCCTGTGTGCTCACAGTGAGGACAGAGACGTGAATAATATATCTCATTCGATGCTCATTTGTGTCTGTGTGACAACATTTCGGGAAGGATACACTGCGCAGGGAAACCGGGTGCCAGGAGACAGGGATACTTATTTCCTTTGAACATTTTGAGTTCTGTAAAGTGTGTATGCATTCACTATCTAAACGTTTTTAATTAAAAATATATGTACATCTCATTTGGATTTTCAGAATCTGCCTTGCTCCTGAAAGGCTTTGAGGCGGGTTACAAGAGCACACAGATGAACAGACACAGCCCTGCTGACAGGGCGGACAGTCTCGCGGGGAAGACAGATGAGTCAACAATCCAGTATCACGTCCTGGGAGGGCGCAGGGGCACGGATGCCGGGCGGCTCAACATGGCCTCCAGTGATCCCGGTGTGCACTGAACCAGCGTCCCCGAGTGACGACCTGACACAGCCACCTTCCTCTTGCCCCTGGCTGGGCTGGGAAACCAAGATGTCCACTGCTGGGATGCATGTGGCCACGTCCCCCCCTCCAAGTTCAGGCCGTGTGTGGAGCTGCTCCTGAAGTCACTGTCCTGTGTCCAGAGGCCGCGCAGGCTGTCTGTGTGTTTACGCCTGGGAGTCCCCAGGGCTGGGGGCGGGAGGCTGCCGTGTCCAGTGCAGCCACAACCCACGACCCCTTCCACAGCCCGGGGCTGCGAGGTGGGACGGCGAGGGCGGGAGCTCAGCCAGGGCACAGAGGAGCGGCCAGGCTGCGGGGAGAATTCGGTCTTTTCAGAGCAGACCTTTGAAATGGAGCAAGAATAACTTTAAACAATAAGATGCTTCTCTCCCCCGGCTGTTGCCCAGGCAACGCCAGAGTGCTCAACAACTATTTAGTTTTTTAAGAAACCAAATCTCCCTCCCTCGGTCAGCTCCCGCCAGGAAGATGAAGAGGCGGTGGAGGCGCCCCTCGCGGCCCATTGTGCGGGAACCCGGGTCAGCCGCCTGCAGCAGTGACATTTAAATCTGACGTTACACATTATATATGAACCCCGGCTGCACTCCTCTGTGGCTGGTGCTGCTGAACTGGGGCGGCCGCAGGCGCCCAGCCCAGACTCCGTGCCCATGTGCTACTTTGGCAGTTTGGGGGTCACAGACCCGGCTGATCTCTGCCCGCCAAGCGTCTGGTAGCTGGTAAGAGTGCGCGGTGGTGACGTGTCCCAGCCCTCTCCATCACTGCCCGAGAGAGTCAGGGGTGGCCTTGTGCAGCTGGGGACTGTGCAGCCCCCAGCAGGGGCCTGACGGAGAATACCAGCTCCCAAGGCAAACTGGTGCTGCTGTCTCTGGGCCTCCAACAACCGGCCAGGAGGCTTCCTGTTATCCCCAAACGACACCGATTAAAAAAAGGTGCCTAGCGTTCTGAAGAAGATGCTAGATGTCAGTTCTTACCAAGGAGACCCTTCGGTACCCAAGGGTGTAGGTGTCTCCGTGAGCCCATTTCTCCAGACATGGAAACAGAGGCTCCACTGAGACAAGCCAGAGTTGGGCAGGATTTGAACCCAGCTCAGTCTAGCTTCAGGGCCTGGGGAGGCCCTGTGACCTGGGGACAGGTGAGTGGACCTCTCCTGGTTCCTGGGGCTTGGCCGATGGTGCTGTCCTAGAGGGGGACCAACTTTCCTCCGTGGAAGGAGGAGGAGGAGCTTTGGCAACACCAAGTTCTGGGCTGTGCGTCCTTGGGTGAGTTGATGCACGTGAAGCTCGTTTTGCTCATCTGTAAAGTGGGGTAACACTCCATGGGAGCTCGGCAGTGAAGAGGGATCAGCAGCCACCGAGGCGCTGGTCTCACTCAGTGTCTGCAGTGCTCACCTCAGACACAGTAGCTTTATGACCGCTGTCAGTGTGGAGAGGGAGCCCGTGGCGCATGGCGGTGGGGTCGGACGCTGGAAGTTACAGCTGATGGGCGCAACCATGAGCTCAGGCAGGCCCTGGAGCGTAGTAGGTGTAGAGCGGCCTTGGCTTGCTTCTCCCTGGAAGATAAATGGAGGGGCTCTGTCTCCCAGGAAACAAAACATGGGAGAAAGTTAAATTTAGAAAAGCCCAGCCAGGTTAGAAGGAGCGCCTTATCCAGCCCGCAGCGGCTGGGAGGGGAACCTGCTTCAGCTGGGGAGTCCGAGCCAGGACAGGATTGGCGGCCGGCCTCGCCTGGGGGGCCTCCTGGGGGACTGCCCTGGATCTGGGCTCCTGGCAGGCAGTGTGGGGGTGGCCGCTGGCAGCTGCTGGAGTGGAGAAGTCCCTCACCTGAGACAGGTGACCTTGCCCTGTCTGAGAATCCCTGGAGGCTGCACTGAGTCCCTGGCAATGACAGGGAACACAGGCTGATGACAAGCCACCAAGTGCAGAATAACGTTTCCTCGCTGACGCTTTGGCCACCTCTCCCTGGGCCCTCTCTCTAGGAAGCCCAGCAGTTGCTCTTCCTCCACTTCCCAGCTCCCCCGTGATTCCCGCCCCCCACCCCAGCACGTCTGGGTGGGGGATAGCATTTAACGCCACTAAATGGCAAGCCCAGAGGTGCGGCGGGGGAAGGGCCAGGCACTGAACTCCCATCGGCTTCCTTCGAGAGATCACTGCCTTAATTTACGAGGCCGGAGTGAGTCTCATTTCCCCAGTGCGCGCTGAGTAATTAACTATTAATAAAAGCATTACTGAGTTAACCACGGGGCATGTTTAATTCATGGGGCAGCCCCGGGAACAGGACGGAGCAGGGCTCAGTGGGAGATTCCTCCCTGGGCAAAATACTACCAGCAGGATGCCACCCAGCTAGACCCAGGGCCCCCGGAGGGCCATTATTCTCATCCCTAACCAGAGGGACGCACCCCTAGGAGGCAGAGCCTGCCCTCCCTTCAGACCAGAGGCTGCAGAGTGTGGCAGGGGGAGGGGAGGGACTCTGGGATGGGTGGGCCCAGGAGAGGGCTCCCTTGGTGGCTACTGAGGTGAGTGACCTTGGGCAAGTCACTTAGCTTCTCTGATCCTGTTTCTCATCTGCAAACCAGGACCACTAATAACAGGGACTTCCTGGTGGGCTGCAGGAGGACTAAAGGAAATTGGGTGAGGAAGGAGGTGGCGAGTGGATGACATGGTTGGTGCTTCTCCTCCTGGCATGGAATTCTCTTTAGGATCAGCCTCCTGCCCCTCCCTAACCCAGAGCTACCCCCAGTTGTTAAGTGAGGTGGGGGAGGGAGGTATACCTGCTTGTTCCAGAACCCAGTGGAACATCCCTAGCAGGACACCTCCTGGTTCCTGGGGGCTCTTCAGGGGCAGGTGGACCTCTCCACCCCTCTTTCCCCACAGACACCTCCAGCCAGCTATGGTGAGTTAATTCTTCCCTCCCAACACCCTGTCATCTCGAGCTCATCCGCACCTCTGTGCCTTGCTTAGCAAACTCCTGTTAGTTCTCAAGACTCAGCCCTTCCTGGAAGACCCCCCACCCATGCAGATAGACCCAGGCAGAATTGATTCCTCCCCTTTCGGTGCCTCCTGGACATTCTTCAATTATGGCATCTACCTGTCCACCCACTCATCCATCACCCATCATCATCCACCCATCCACCCGTTCACCAGCCGCCCCCCATCCACCTTTCCACCCGTCCAGCCATCATCCATCATCCATCCACCCATCGCCCATTCATCCAGACTTTCCGCTGAACACCTGGAGTACGCATCTCTGATCCCACTGAACTTTTGGACAAGTTTGGGGCTTTCCTTAGACCAGCGGTTCTTGGTCTTTTGGGGATCTAGGACTCTCCTAGGAAAATACACGTATGTACACACATGCCAGGTGCAGCGTCCCTTTTCATGGATCCTGGTTTCTCTGGAGGCAGATTGTGGCCCTGGGTACCATGGACACTGTGGGGCCATGCTCAGACCCCCCTTTGGGGGTGAAGGCATTATCCCCCTGGGCCATGGCAAGGGGATAGGCCTGATGTCAAGCTCCTGGGGGGTCCTCTTGGTTTGAAGATAACCGGCACTCCTGAAGTCAGGCCCCTTCCAGGGGCCGGTCACTGCTGGTCTCCTGTCTCAGGGCACCTTTGCTGGGCCATCCCAGCTCTAGGGCACAACTGTGGGGCTGGGGCCTGCCTTGGGGACGCTCAGCTTCCTCCTCCGCAGGTCCCGTCTTGCTCCCTCCACGGTGTTTTCCCAAGACCTCCTTCTAGTCAGCAGCCTGCTCTAGTCTTCATCCACAGTCTGCTTTCCAGGGAACCACTGGGCTTAAAGGCCCGCAGAAGTTCCTTGAGGACAGGGACAGTGGGTGTGTTACTGTCACCTGTCACTGACTCCTTTTATCAACGGCAGGCCCCTTGTAGGTGCTGCAGAAACCTTGTTTGAATACCCGCTAATGCGTTCTCTCGTTCTCTCGGTCCTCTGTTCTGGGCCTCTGTTGTCTCCAGCAGGGGAGTTCCCATCAGGTATCGGGAGAAAGGGACACCCCACCAGCTGAAGCCAGCAGGACTCAGGGGCCTGTTCAGGAAAACGTACTAGTTGCCAACGAAACTGTAAATAACCATGGGAACAGAAGTCAGGCTACCTGGTTACCAGGAAGCAGGGGAAGGGGACTGGCTGATGTCAGGGCTAGGCTGGCAGGAGGGACAGGCTCAGAGGGAAGCTGGGAGGCTGAGGCCTGGTGTGAACACTGCTGGTGGTGGGCACAGCCTCTTCTTATAGCCCCCGGGTCCCGGGGTGGAACCAGGGCCTCCTGCACACCGCCGGGCAGGTGCTCTACTGAGCTAAGCTCTGCCCCGGGACTTCAAAGTGAAAACCTAGAAACCCCCCATTTAGTTCCCACTATTGGAAATTCTTTTGCAGAACAAATGTCTAAGTGGCTCCTCTTTGAGGCAAGGATGGGGACCATGGTGGTGGGGCCTTAGTGCTGGCCACTCCTCTTTCATGCTGTCACTGGGAACGGTGTGTGACATTTCCACTCCGGATGTTCACTGAGAGCTAAGGAGAATATGCCCAGCACCATGCCAACCACTTTGCATATTATTTTCTCTTTACAGCCACTTATAGATGATCATTCCTTCTTTATAGACAAGGAAGAGAGGACCAGCAAAATGGCCAAGATCACAGGGCAGAGAAAAGCGAATCTGAATCCAGTTGTGTCCCCAGGCTGAATTCTTAGCTGCTCTCATGCTTTGCCTCTGTGAATTCAGTTTCCGAAGCCATGAAATAGGTGCAGCGGTTCCTGCTGCACGGGGCTGCTCAGGGCCAGTAACCTGTGTGAAGGGCCAGAGGGCGTCCAGTGGCTGATCCCTTCGTCCTTCCTTCCCCATTCCCATCTTCTGCCTGTCTCTGCTCCCAGTCTGGGCTGGGAGGAAGGGCAGGCTTCTCCAAGGACAAACATCTCTGTCCCCAAGTCCAGCAGTGCCTGCCACATGGCCAGCACCGTCTGAATGCTGTTGCCCTAAATGGATGATCTGAGGGTCCCCACTTTTGTTTCTCTGCACTGGAAACTTGGAATCCAACTCAATAACTAGTCCACGCAGCGAGTACCACTGAGGGAATTCTCCCACTGCTGTGTAACTACTCTCAAGCCACCGGGACTTCAGGGTTTCACAGCAGATTGGAGCAGATACAGCCGCAGATGATCCGGAGTCCCCAAGGCTGAGGCGAGGACCAGAATGAAGATGCAGGTACACAGGGTCCTGCCTGGTGGCTCAGGCCTCTCCCCCCAAGCATACTTGAGCTCGCGCAAGTCCCGGCTACAATGCCAACTGCGGACGTCCTCAAATATTGGGGGCATTAACCTTCCTACCACCGTGGGCTCCTGCGAGAGGAAGTGTGCATGTAAGCACTTAAAACCCCAACCCGCAGGTCAGCCCTCCTCCCTCCTCCCCTTCTGCTGGGGACAGACACCACAGCCTGCAGAGACCAGTCACATCCTCAGCTCCTGTCAACCTGTGCAAGCACCAAGTTTCCATGGTGATGCTGCAGCCCCGAGATGCAATGGCTGCAGACAGCACTGGTGGTTGGAGGGCTGAGCCGGGTGAAGGCTGTCTGGCCTGGGAGGCCAGGCGGAGGGGCGGGGGAGTAGGGGAGGGAGCCCTCCTCTAAGCCTGGCTGGTAATTGCTGCTAAGTGAGGGGCTGTCATTGAGGCCAACAGGAGTGTGGCAGGAGCCGGGTGCTGCACCCTGTAATTACTGCACCAGACAGCGCTCCCTCGCCGCAGGGGTGGTGGGGGCGGAAGTGCTCATCCACCTGCGCCTGGGGCAGGGGCAGGCACTCCCGCCCCAAGCAGCAGCAGGCCCTGAGGCTGAGGCCACCTCCCCAGCCCCTCCTCAGCAGGCTCGCTTCCTCTGGCCCCGGAACCTGCAGGATCCAAGGTGGACAGATGGGCAGAAACAGACAAGGGTGGGCAGCCTGTTTGCCAGCGTCAGCAGGGAATGGGAACTGGAAGCTGGTCCTCCGTGGAGGATCTGAGGGCCTGTCCCACTGGCCGGGGACCTGGCTCCACACTTGAGGACCCTTCATAGCAGGGTTCAGCAGCCAGCCACTGTCTCAGTCCCTCCTCCCCAAGTCAGGTTTCACGGGGACACAGCCACACCCTTTTGTTTCTGTACTGGCTCTGGCTTCCCTTCACGCTACAACAGAGTTGAGAAGTTGTAACAGATGCCATATGGTCCCCAAACTGAAGTATTTACCATGTGTCCCTTTACAGGAAGTTTGCAGGCCCAGGCCAGTGAGTTCTAGCAGATTCAACAGGGCTAGCCTTTTACAAGAGCCCGTCCTGGTCCCCACTAAGTCGCCTCCTCTGGACAGAGGTGGCAGGCCTGCCGAGTGCTGCAGCCAGCGCAGTGGCGCCACCTGCTGTGAGTGCCCAAGCACCCCAGGGGAAGCCCTGGCTGTAGGCCTGGGGCTGGGAGCCACAGGTATCAGGCTGGGGCTTGCTCCCTGCCCACAACACGAGAGGACTGCATGGAAGGCAGGCCAGGGATCCTCACAGGAGGCAGCACAGGACCCGGATGGAGGCGCAGGCCCGCTGCTCACTTGGCAAGCTTTGTCTTTTCTAGGTCCTGATCTCTTGGTTGATGAAAGGTTTAAAACAATAAGCCTAAGATTTAAATCTGTTACAAATACTGGCAAGAATCTTCACAAAGACTCACATTACTTCCATTTCACAGAGAGGTTAAGTATTCACTTAAGGTCACATGGAAAGGGACAAAGTCTGGATTCAAATATAGACTGTAAAAAACATGTTCAGCCCCAGGGTGCTGTGCTCAGTAGACACTCATTTCTTCTCTGCCTGCAGGTATGGGGGGCCCTGCAGAGGGGCAAGCAGGAGATGCAGGAGGCCAGGATGGGCCTGGTCACTTAGGGAAGGCTCCAGCAGGGACAGAGAAGGTGGGGTCAGGTCTTCACAGCCCTCCCTGCCCCGACTCCCCTAGGCAATGTGAGTGGCCACTGGACCATAAACCCATTTATTTCCAAAGTATAAATAAATCTGCTGAGAAAGATGCAGTCCAGGTGATGAGGCCCAACACCATCACACCCCCACTGCCCTGCAGTCCAAAGTCAGCCCCCCTAGAAGGCCGCTGTGCTTCTGACATCAGTCTTGGGCAGGGCCTGGCCAAGGGCCTAGAAGGACCCACCACTTTCTTCTCCACCAGGATCCCAGCACAGCGTGGGCGAGCTCCAGCCAGGCCGAGGCTGGCCTGGTGTCACCCTGTTGACCAAGCTCTGAGGGAGGGGTAGGAGCCACACGCCCCTGACCTAGCCCGCCACAGGTGACTCTCAGGCCACTGCTCCCAGCTGCTGTGAAGAGCCACAGGGCCCTGGGCTGCTGCCAAATGCTCAGAGCAGCGCTGGTCACAGAGTAGCCTGCACCCAAGTTGCTCCGCTGGCCCCTCACTGCTGCCCCTGGGCCATGAAGTAGTCTTCCTCCTCGTTGTCCTCATCCTCTGGCTGGCTGCTCCGGAGCAGCAGCTCCAGGTCAGGGCTGGAGCTCAGCCCCTTCAGGGGTCTGGATCCACCTTCACCTGGGGACAGAGATCAGTTATGGACCCCAAAATGGTACACTCCCTGAGCCACAGGAGCAGCCAGGAAGGGAGCTGAGCCAGGCCCTTCGGGGCAGGCAGGGCTGGTGGAGGGGGAATCAGGGGTGCCAAGAGTCGCAGGGAGTGACGTCAGAGAATGGAGGCCTCTGGAAGGCTCCGGTTACCTCTGGAGTGTAGAGTTTTGAGGGCCACGTGCAGAGATATTCCCGAGAGGCAGAGGGCGAAGCCCAGCCAGTTCAGGAGGCTGATCTGATCACCCAGCAGGTGAGCTGCCAGCAGCAAAGTGCAGACTTCCTGTGGCCAGAGAAGTGGGAAGGGGTAGTCAACAGGGGGCGCTCCTTCTGGGGAGAGGAGAGCGGGGCCTGCCTAGCTCAGACTAGATCCCAACCCTCAGGACTCCTGGCCAGAGCAGGGCTGGCAGGCCTGGAGGGTGAAGAAGTGAGGGACAGGCTCCCCACACGGCATTCCTGCCAGCCCCACTCTGCTACTGAGGCAGAATGTCACAGAACTCTGCTGGGAAAAAGAGGGGCACAACAGACCCAGGGTTGGTGTGGAGCCTGTGCCAAGGGCTCAGGAACAGGGTTAGCTGCCCTGGCACGGGCACCTGTGGATGGGTAGCCCTCAGCTCCTTTGGGCAAATGCAGGGTTGTGCTGGGCTCTGAGGATACACTGTCCCAGGGTCCTTCATAAACAGTGACCATAGGTGGGACCTGTGAACAATGCACTGAGAACCACAGCTTACGCCTCATCCCTTGGCTGCCAGCCAGAAGGCCCTCAGGGGACCTATTTCTGCTCCAGTGTGGGGTCTGCCTAGTCAAAGACAAGACCCCTCCTGGTGCTGAGCAGGGAGCTGCAGCAATGGTGGGGGGTGGGGGAGGGGGGAGGGAGGGAGATGGGGAGGGCTTCAAGGCACCAGAAAAGTTTAAGACTGGCAACAGGTGGCACCGTCGCATGATACAACTCCTGCTGGGCCCATGGCAGACACTGCCAATCAATCATGGAGCTCTACTGATGAGTCTGGGTGGGGGCTTCTCAACCTACAGCTCCAGGACACTGCCACATGTCCAGGGCTGGCACTGGAGTAAAATGTAACCGCAGCCAGGGTCTAGAGGGGTCGGTCTGTGCACCCTTGGCTGGGAGCAGCTCCGCAGGTCTGAGGGGACGGTGGAGAGAGGAGAGCCAGGAGCACAGTGCCTGTCACTGAACGGGACACTCTGGTCTCTTCTCCAAAGGCCCAGGAGTGCCGGAGCTGGGGTGGAGCCTTTATGGGCCCTCTAAGGGAAAAGAGGGTCACTTCCAAGTCTGTACCTTAAAAATGCCAGCAATGGAGAGAGTGAGGCTGGAGGTTCGGGAAACCAGGAGGAACTCTGAGAAACCCAAACCGAAGGCAAGAATCCCGCCAAGGAAGAGACTCCCAAGTACCCGCAGGAGCAGCCCTGTGTCCTGGAAGCGGAAGATTTTCTCAGATGTGGACAAGTGCAGACCTGGAGCAATGCGGGGAGAGAGAGCGGGAGGCCAAGGCCGGGCCAGGGCCACCCTGCCCAGCAACCAGCCTTGTCATCAGTGAGGTGGACGACACACGGAGCCCCTGCTGACCATCCAGCTGGGGGAAAGAACGAGGGGTACAGAGTAATCCCACCAAGTGGCTGAGATCCAGGGAGACTGGAGGAGTTGGAGCCCCAGGGTAATTCAGGCGGGGTCCCAACAGGGAGCCATGTGGACTGAGGCCTTCCCTGGAGGGTGCGGCTGGCGCTCCTTCAGACAGTCTGCTAGCCTTTTTTTTTGTTTTGGGGACGGCATCCAGGGCCTTATGGATGGTAGGCAAGCGTCCTGCCACCAAGCCCAAACCTAGGTCTTGCTAGTACACAGCTGTGGGACTTGGGCCAAGATGTTCCCTTTCTGGACTTCAGTTTCTCTGCTGATGAAATGACAGGATGGAACTGGACTGGAGTTTCCCTAGCAAGCAGCGCCATCGGGCCAGCTTCACTCCTTCCCTCCCTCCCTTCTTTGGGGACCAGAGATTGAACCCAGGGTACTCTACCACTGAGACACACCCCAAGCCCTTCTGATTTCTTTATTTGGAGACAGAGTTTTGCTAAGTTGCCAAGGCTGGCCTTGAACTTGCAGTCCTCCTGCCTCAGCCTCCCCAGGGCTGATGAGCATTTCTCAAAAAGAAAACATTCACCTATGTGAACAGATGACTGCACAAAACACAAATTTTGCCTAGGGACTTTTAGGAGTCCCTCCAACACTGTCCCTCTGAAGGGACAATTCTCCGGGTCCCTAGCAAGATCCCCATGGTGTATCAGCAGAGGGGGGAGTGAGCTCTGCACTAGACACATGTGGGAGCTGGGCACTGACAAGCCCTTGGGCATTTTGGAAGGAAGCACCGAAGAAATAGAGGACAGCCCACCCCTGTCCCCCCACCCCTGGCAGCCAGTGGACTCACAATGCAGGACATCCAGCTTGGGCTGCCTCCGCAGAGCTGCCACGGCGCAGGCAAATGGAAGGGAATTCGGGGAAGAGCAACATAAGTAATGAAGGCGCTTGGGGGATTAATTTACCAGAAAAGATTAAAGGAGCTAAATCCATGCAGCTTTGCTAAGTGGCGACTACCAGGGGCTTTCGGATGAGGGTTTGCAGATGGGGGAATGGTGCAGACACCCAGGGGGCCGGGAGTGTGGTGTTTGGTGCAGGGGGCATAATGAAGGAATGGGGAGGGATTTTAAAAAGGAAAAACATGAGGCTCTGAACAGAAGTCTCCTGGACAACGGGCTGCAGAATAATTTTCTCAGGGAGGTTGGAGATGCTTCACTGCTTGAAACTTAAATGGATGTGGGACAGAATTTTCTGTAACGACCCTGAGGACAGTCGGGACTCTGGGAGGAAGAATAAATAGACAGAGGACAAAGACTAATCCCAAAAACCGGGAAGGAAGGTGGTGCTGTGCCGCCCACCCTCCAAGCTCTCTTTCCTCCTCCTCTGGAAGCCCCAGCCCCAGGCTCCTGCATGCTGGCCCCTGCCCAGCCCACCCCACACAGTTACAGGCCAACATGTGAGTGAACCTCCTGTCCTGCTTCCCAGGACACCCTGCCTGCCTTAGTCCACCCACTGCTCTCATCCGCCAAAATACACGGATGGTCTGGGGAGCTTTTCTGACTCGCTCACTCCACCCTCCTAACACAGGCGGTGACTCTGCCCTCCTAGGGGCAGCATGCAAGGTAGGGAAGAGTGGGCTCAACTGCTTGAAGCCAGGAGGCTGGGTCCAAATTCTGGCTTCCTTGTGAGCTCTGGGATCCTGGGCAAGCTCTCTTCCCTTCTGAGCCTCAGTTTCTTTCATCTGCAAAACCAGGTGACACTTACAGTATCAGCCAGTTTTTTGAGAGGACTTAATAAGTGTTTGACACGCACGCACGCACACACACACGTATATCTATACACAATATACCTCTATATAATATATACATGTGTATATATATAAAAAACAATCATCTCTTCAGAAACTAATACCCCTACCCAGTCCTGTTCTACTCCTGTGAGACAGCAGTGATCTATTTCTGAGAATGGAGGCCCCGTGATTTAATCACCTTACACTAGGATCCACCCCTGAAGCTTCCAGCTCCTCAACACTGCCACTTTGGGACCAAGCTTCCAGGACACGAACCTTTGGGAAGATAAATCACACCCAGACTATAACATGCACACTTCCTATTGTGTATATGCCAGGTTACTTTCAAAGATACACTAAAGTAGAAATTTGTAGCTAGGGAACCCAAATCTTAATTTTACTAGATAATGCCAATTATTTTCCAAAAATGATTATTCCAATTTACTGACCTAAGGAAATACGAATGTTTTCTGGCATTTATATATAGGTTTTTGCTATTGTGTAGTTTTATTTCTTATTGAGTTGTTTTGACTTTTTAAAATAAATTCATGTATTTTTTCATAAAAAAAAAAAAAGTATTTGAAATAATTAAAATAGCCAGGTGTGATGGTGCAGGCTGTAGTCCCAGCTACTCTGGAGGCTAAGGTAGGAGGATTGCAAGTTTAGGGCAAGACTGGTCAACTTAGTGGGACCCTATCTTCAAATAAAATATCAAAAGGGCTTGGGGTGTAGCTCAGTGGGAGAGTGCCCCTGGGTTCAATCCCTAGTACTGGAAAAAGAACAAAAAAAGATGAAAATAGTCCCTTCAGCACTCTGTACAGTCATTACCATCACTGTCCTTATGTTTTACACTCTTTCTGCAGCAACTATCAGACTGGATTCTAGCCACTTCCTTACAGGTCTATCCAGTCCCAACATGAGTACAGGGGTGGGGCTGCATCTTCGACATTGGCAACCTCTAAAACTAGCACCACACAGGGATCTGGGATTAGCTGTTCTGAGGTGCCCCGAGGTGGCTGGCCCAACATACCTTCAAATATGGCAAACAGAGGGAAGAGCCCCAGAAACATGAGTGGCTGCAGGTGGAACATGCTGTCGATGGGGTTCTGGAGGCCTGCAGGGCAGGACGCAGAGGTCAGGAGGTCTGGCCGGTGCTTGCACAGCCTCCAGCCTGCCTGCACCTGCCCCACCCAGGCTCGCCCAGGCTCACCCAGCTCAGCCTTCTGCAGGAGCATCTGGGTGAGGGTCCAGCGAATTCCACCGATGAACGAGGCCCCCAGCACCAGGGAGAAGCCCTTCACGTTGAACTGGGTGGACTTGTAGGTGAACATGAAGAGGCCCCCAGCGATGAGGAGGACCACCAGGACCAGGGTCGCACGCTGGGAGGAGGGGAGCAGGTGCTCCTGACTCGGGGGTCCGTCACACCCAGAGCTGGGGATCAGCATCTCCCCTGGGACAGGAGATCTTCTACCTCAACCCTCCCAGGGAAGTCGCAGACAGCCCTTGCCCACTGACGTATGAAGGGTTGACAACTGGCATGTCCTCAGTATCCCTTCCTACTCTAAAATACCACAGTGCTTTCTGAGATCTGCTCCAAGTCCCGAGTGGCCTCTCCGCCTCCTTGGCCTCCAAATGAGGACCACCGCTTTGTACAGCAGGGCTCTCCAGGACCCTCCTGATTTCTTCTGTCAGCTGCTGACACACTTGTTTCTAAATACTCTGCATATTGTCCCTATGCCTAGGTCCCTTCTCAGAAGAGGGAGTTACTGCCACCTGGGCTGGGCCTGTCTCAGTCACCGCTCAGATTCCCTCTTCTACTCTGGGTATACTGCGGGTAGGAAGGACAAAACAGACCCTGGGGCCTCACCAGCTCCTCCAGCTTGAAGATCAGAGAGAAGATCAAGATGAACAGCACAGCCGAGGACTTGGTCATTGTGTACCTGAAGTGGAAATTACCCACACTGCACTGCTGGAGTCGGGGTTAGGACCCGCCACCCAGAAGAGAGCCCAGAGCACAGATCAGCAGGCTGGAAGGGGGAGGAGGCTGACTTTCCAGAGAGCAAGTGGCGCTGCTCAGGGCAGCAGGGCAATCTGGGTACAGAAGATCAAAAGGAGCCTGCCTGAGTCACCTGGGCCGATAAGGGACCTGTCATCGGAAGACTCTCTGAGGCCCCCGATTATCACTGGGAGACAAGGCTGCATGTCTGACATCGAGGAGTTCTATCCTTTACCTAGCCCTTGGCCAAGACCAGGAAAGGAAGAACAGATGAGACGAGAGGACACATAGAGGATCGTGTCCTCTGAAGCCAACGCGACACAACCAGCTATCACCCAGCCCGTGCCCACACTGGGCGCTGATGTGGCCAATGCTCTGTGGCCAGCCCCTTCCTCGGCTCTGCTGTTCTGTCCCTGCCTCAACTGCAGTGCTCTGTCCGCATCCCCTGGCTTCCCCCGCTGCCCGGCAGGCACAGCGTCCCCTCTGCGCTGGGCTTACGGAAGAGGCTGGAGACTTCTTGGAGAGCTGCTAGGTGCCAGGGAGGAGCTGAGAGAGCAAGGGCTGGTCCCAGAGAGTGATGGAGTGGCTGGCCCATCGGCCAGGTGCGCAGACAGCAGCCGGTACTCACAGCGAGACGGTGATGTAGAGGAAGCTCCAGTTGGACAAGCCCACGTCAAGTGCTGTTGCCAGTGCTGTGGAGACAAGGGGCGCCCGGGGCTGAGGTGGCACAGGAACATCCAGCCAGGTGGCCGCTACGTCCTGGAGGTGGCTAAGGAGCCCATTTTGCCCCACTCTGGTTTCCTCTCTGGGAACCCGAGGCTTTCCTTTCTACCAGCAATTATATGGTTAACATCTGGCTAAAAAGTGGGGCCACGGGGCTGGAGTCCACCCTGACTGGGGGGTGCTATGCTCATGTGTCGACTGATTTCAATGTCCTCGCCCCCACTAGACTGGAACCTCTCAGCCGGTCAATCCTCCTGTGAAAACCCTCCTCCCTGGGGACCAAATGAACTCAACAGGGCACCTGGCCCTCCAGGTTCTCGGTGGCATCGAGTGGCCTTTCTAACTTCACACACTGCTCGGTGTGTGACACACCAGCACCAGCTGGTGCCACCTGTCCTTCAGTACCTGCCTACTCACACCTGACCTAGGACACAGATGACAGGCAGGCCCAGGTCAGGCTCCACTCGCAGGGCTCTGGGGCACCTCTGACAGCCCACCACGGGGCGCGGGGGCCAGGACCCTGCCTGCGAGGCGCACGCACATGCTGCAGGGCTTTCTGTGTGTGTGGTAGGAGGGGAAGTCGGGGAGAGCTCGAGATGTGGGGCGAGGGGAGGGAGGCGGAGGGAACGAAGAGGTGTGGGGCGGGCAGAGAGGGGACTTGACCTCGAGGCCCAGAGGGCTTCTCTCTGGTCCTCTAGCAGCCCTCCTTCTGCCGGGACACGTACCTGTGGGGGCCACTCTTTTGAGGTAGTCGGTCCAGCTCAGCACCACGCGGGCCCTGTGGCTGGAGCACTGAACCAGCGCCCGGGACAGGGCGGAGAAGAGGAAGATCACGGCCAGGTGCAGCATCGTCATGAAGAGGGGGAAGTGAAAGCTCTGCAGAGCCCAAGCAGACACCCCGCGCCTCAGAGACCGCCCTGGGCTGGCGCCCCTCCTCCCTCCAGCTGCCGTTGGGTGGGAGGGGCTCTCAGCTGCATTCCAATTAGACTGAGAGACCCTCTGTCCCCACTGTGGAGGTCCAAAAGAGAAGTGGCACCCTGGGGCTCACTCCCAGTTTGGTGCTGTCTCCACTTCAACACCCCTGGCTGGTCCATCAGCCTTGCCCAAGAGCCTCTGTGGGCCAACAAGGCCATGCCAATTGTGGCACCTCTGACCCAGCACCCTGCACCGGTGAGGCCTCAGTTACCTTCGTCAGCCATTTGTTGTAGAAGGTGATGCCGATGGAGAAGCAGTAGTAGAGAAGGACCAGCCCCAGGGTCAACACTGCCTTCCACACAAAGGCCACGTCAAGGGCCCACCTCCCCATCCGCGGAGGCTGCGTGCCCCTGCTCCTGGGCCACGGGACAGCACCTCTCCTGAAGACAGCTCACAGAGGAGCGGCGCTGGACCACGACTTTCAACAAGCAGATGCCCTGGCTGGAAGGGTTCTCTTCGCCTCCATGTTTGGAATGGTCAGTGGGCCCCGGTGGAGTCCTCACCTAAGGGGCTGGTGGCCCAGGCCGACCTGTTCCATGGTTAGCTGGTCCAGGGCTCAAAGGACCCCAGTTCTGCTGTAGAAAGATGCGAAGACAGCTGTGGTGGCTCTGCGGCTCCACACCCAGCCCAGCACCCCCAGAGCCCTAGTCAGCCCACTCCCGCGTCACTTCAGGCCCTTCTTCATGGGCTGTTATCAAATGACCTTTCCACACGTAAATCTGATTGTGTTGGACCAGTGCTGTCTCACGGACAAAGGCCAAAACCCTTTCTGGGGCTCCCAGGGCCCAGATCTGGCCTTGCAGCCTCGCCAGCCTCAGCCTCACACTTTCCAGGACGGGTCCAACTGGCTGCCTTTTGGTTCTCCCAACACACCAGGCTCTTTCCTGCTGCCTGGAGGAACGAACGCCCCTCTTCAACCATTCCTCAGTCACCCTGCTTTTCTTGGGCACAAAGGTCCTGGGGATGTCCCCACCCACCAGTCTGGAGATACAGGTGGTTCTACTATCCCTTCCCAGCACTTCTTCGGGGTGTGATCTGAGTAATGTCTGGTCCTCTGCAAGGCCAGGAACTTGAGGACAGACAGAACCTACCACACCTGACACTGGGTGAGTTCTCCACTCGGTCTGAGGACTCGGCGCCAGACAACATGCATGTCATTTTCAGGGGACTGATCTCTTCTTCAGGGGTGGAAAGTGGATCAGGAAACCTGTACCTACCTGGCCCTACCCTCTACCAACTGCTCTCAGAGGCACAGGGTCCTGCCTAAACAAACCACTCCCTGCCACCCAAGCAGCCCCAAGGAAAGCATGAGCATTTGTGGCTGGAGACGGTGGACCCACCTGTGCCTAGGGAGCTGGGGCCCAGCATCACACCTCTGCTTCAGCTGCGTGTCCCCTCCTTGCTGCCTACTTGGGAGAGGCCCCACCTGCTGCAATGCCATCTCCTGGAAGCCTTCTTAGAAGGCTGATCCCCAGCCCAGCCCAGCCCAGCCCAGCCCGTGGGTCGGAAGGGAACGACCACACCTGACCCTGATGTCTGATCTCAGGTGTTCCTCCTGCCCTTTCCCAGCGTGTACTCTTGGAACCAGTGCTATCGCTTCCCCACCCGCAAGGCAAACTGGGCTCCAGGGCTGCAGTTCTCTTCAGAGGAACTTTGGAAATCTGTAGTGGTGAACTGGGGGGATACTGGAAGCATACAGGGAGCAAGGACCATGAGGCGTAGCCCACAGAACCAAGAATTATTCTACAATCTGTATGACTTTGAGGTGCAGGTGGAAGATTGGCCTATGATTACCTGAACCCAGACCCTAAATCAGGCATAGGTGTACACACGCAGCAGCTTTTCTATGGCTCCACCATGCACTGAAAATTCCCAAAACTTAAACCACTCATGGTTTCTGAGCTGTGGCACACCATGGCTGTGTGAGGGTATGTTTGTGGCTACCATGTTCCTAGGTGTTCTACAGAGAAGGGAGCCGCTAGCCACTTCACCCTCACTCTGGTTCTGTGCCCAGGAACCTCCATGTAGAAACACATTTCATTGTCAGCTACTTTCCCTTTGCAACATGTTAGGACACACTCATTAAAAAAAAAAAAAAAAAAAAAATATATATATATATATGTGAAGGGCTGAATCTGGTGGCACACACCTGTAGTCCCAGTGACTCAGGAAGCCAAGGCAGGAGGATTGCAAGTTTGAGGTCAGCCTTGGCAATTTAGTGAGACCCTGTCTTCAAAATAAAAAATAAAAAGGGCTGGGAATGTGGTAGCTCAGTGGGAGAGTACCCCGGGTTCAATCCCAGTCCTGCCAAAGAAAAAAAGGAACATGCTGGAACCAGTCTAAAGCTGACATACCTCCCCAGTGTGGACCCCAGCTCTGATTCACCATGAACCTCAGAGGAAGAGCAACTGCGACCTGACCTCTTTACCCCGATGTCTGATCTCAGGTGTCCCTCCTGCCCTTTCCCAGCACAGCAGGCACCACCACTCTCCTCCTCTGCTCCTCTGTCCCCAGCTCACTCAACCCCTGGCAGCTCCATCTCTGCAAATATCCCCAATCATCGCATCTCCTGACCTCCACTCCCGCCACCCCAGGCCCTACCTCTCTCCAGATGACTGCAGCAACCTCGTGCGGTGGCCTCTCTGCTCCTCCTGCCACTCCCAGCCAGACTCCTGCTTCTGTGACTGAGTGGGGCAATGGGGCTTCAAACCCACATGGTGCAAGCTCGAGGCCCACTTTCCTCTATGCCAGTTTCTCAAACTTGGTGTCACTCATGTTTGGGGCTGGATAAATCCTTGTGCACTGTAGGATGTTAGCAGCATCCCCAGTCAACACCTGCGAGACGCAGGAATATCCTTAGCCCCTGCTACACGTAACAACCAAAATTGTGTCCAGACATTGCCAAACACTGCCTGGGGATCACAAGTGCTCCTGGTTGAGAGTCACTGCTTACGCTACACAGGCAGTTGCAGGGCACGTTGATACTAAGGGGACTTTCTTCCTAGCACTTGCTCCATGGGTCCTTCCAGTGGCTTCCAAGTTAGGGCCATCTGTTTCCCTTTCTGGGATCAACCTGCACCTTCTGCTTACACTACAGTGCCTGCTCAACAACACAAGGTCCTCCCTGGGCTGTTTCAATCATGTCTTTCCTTCCAAGAGCTTGTCCAGATCCCTGTAATACACTTGCCCCCCACCCAGCTCCATCTCAAAGTCAGCAACACTGTTTCTTATGAGCATTCAAAGGTAATTCACTTACCCAAAACACAAAGACTCATGTCAGCTAGAGGGGCCAGCCAAAATCACAGAGCCACATACTCAATGTACATTCATGACTCACTACTATATCGGAGCACTGGAGATACAGGCATGAAACTCTGTGGTAAGGGAGACCAGACTTACGGGGTTAAATGCTCTTTTCCAAATCTCACTTGCCCAAGAGAGGAATTCCAGTGTGCCTCACTTTCCCTGGGGAGCAGCAGCCACAGTGGGGGTAGGGCTGTGCACTGTCGTAGCACCTGGCTGCCCTCCATTTTCACAACCTCACACAGCGGTGCAGCCTAGTGCTTAAAAGTACAGGTTTGAAGTTAGAGACCTGGAGCAAATCCTAATGCTTCTACTCTAAATGAGTAGACTCTGGAACTCAGTTTCTCCAACTGTAACGGGAGACAGAACCATCTAGCTCCTGGGAAAGGAGTCAACGGCATTAGGTACATACAGCACTGATGCTGGATGGCGTCCAGTTACAGCAACACTTCCCCAGGGGCCCTGCACTGACAGCCCACTCCTACTGACCTCCTCTCACTTCCTGTCCCGACTGCTTCTGAGTTACTACACCTTCCTCCAGTTGCCCCCTCAAGGGCCAACTCTCTGTTCTCCTCTTATACACTGACCACTTCCTCTTTCTACAAAGAGGACTCGAACGCCAAGACCCTACAATCTCTGGCTTGTCTCCTGCTCTTCTCCGCTCCTTCTTCAGTCTTCTAGCTGACACCCCCTCTTTAACTCAACGTGTAAGAGTTGGCACCTGAGGGTCGGATCCTGGCTTCTCTTCTTTCTTCATTCTCATCCTAAGTACTGCATCCAACCCAAACCACTTGCCAGTGATGTCTTTACATTAGCCAAGCTTTCCTGTGAGTGCAGGCTTGTGTATCTAAGCGTCCACTCCAGACATCTAGATCTTAAGATGCCCTAAGAATACATCTAAATTACTCCCCATGTCCCCAACCTACTCCAACTTTGATATGCAAAGTTGAGGTGTAATGCAGTTACTTAAACCAAATGCACACATCAGAGATGAGGAACACTTGACCCTCTCTGGCCCTCAGTCCTCAAATCCTGCCCTGTCAGCTCCACCACCAATGACTTCTGGACCCGTCCTCTTTTCTTCACTTCCCCTTCCACAACCACAGTCTCAGCCACGTTATCTTCCGTTATCGCGGAGCTTCCTCTTTTGTCCCCACAGCCTGGAGTCCACGAAGCAGCCAAAGGGGTGGCCTACACACAGAAAGCAGACCACGCCCTCCGAGGGCGGACCCCGCTCGCCGGCTCGGCCCGCGAGGAGGCCGCCTACCACCTGGCCTCCGCCGACCTCTGCAACCTCCTCCTACCGCTGTCCCCGGCCCCCGCCGCCCGGCTTCCAGCGACTGGTCAGGCACATCGAGTCCGCGTCCTCCGACTCCGCCAAGCGCCCCCATCCTCCAGACCTCCCCACCAGCTGACGTGGCCGTGTTGGCTCGTGTCTCCCGGCTCCCGCCCGGCGCAGGGCCTGGCGCCCTGCAGGTGTTCCGAGTGCCAGCCGAGGGGCGCGGCGGGGAGGGCGGCCTGCAGGAGGCCGGGGTCCCCGCCCCTCCGCGGACCGGGCCGGGCGCCGGGGCGGCAGCAGGAGCCAACAGCGTGCAGAACCGAGGCGGGACGGCCCCCCACGCCAGCCGGACCCCCTCCCGGGAGCTCCCGCAGCGCGCCCACTCACCTCCACCGTGGCGCTCGCGCCCGCGATCCTCCCGCCGGAAGTGCGAGCCGGGTTCCGCCCCCGAGCCGCGGGAGGGGTGGCTTCCGCCGGAAGCCCCCGAGGGGCCGAGCAGTGAGGGGGCGGAGCGGGGACCGTGTGCAGAGGCTGGGGCGGCCTTCCTCCGCGCTCTGCCAGACCGCCGCGGTGCCCTGGTGCGCTGGGCGCCCGCGCCCACCTTTTGTTCAGCCCTGTATTGTAATAGCTTGTCTCCGGCGCGCAAGCAGCCACTTGTCGTGGAGCCGCGGTGCCTGCTACTGTCCTGCACACAGGGAGCACCCCCACGGTGGTCACCTATTTACCTTTGTCAAACAGACGGTTTATCTACATGCAACCCAGTGCCAGGCAAGCATGCAGCGAACCACGAAATCTCTCTGGGCTTCCGCTTCTGGAAGCTGCAGCCAGCTGGGGAGTAATGTCAGGGACACTTAATTTTTACTTAGAAAGATACAGAATAACAATTGTGAAATATTTCGTCTGAAGCCTTCTAAGAATAATTTCAAGAGGTTGAGTAAGAGGAGAGCATCCCACAGGAAATAAGAACCTCAAGAGGGGCTGAGAAAGTGCCATGCTTGCTGGGAGCTCAGGTGGTTCAAGAAGGTAACAAAAACTACAGTGGTTCAAGTAGCCAAGGGACAGGTTGCAGTGGCCCCCAGACACCCGCCAAGAGCATTCAGATTTGATGCATCTTGTGGGATGGGTTAAAAGGGGCAGTGTTTATGGACAGTGAGCAACACTAGGCCTGGCAGGTGAGGGCTGCACACCAAGACCCAGTTTTGTGATTTTTGCTCTACTCCAGTCTCCTGGGCTCTGCACTGTGACTGGCTGCAAACATGGATCCTTGTGACTCAGCTGAGCTCCCAACCCCTCTGAACAGAAGGTTCAAGGCCAAAGTGTGAGCAGAGCTTCCTGCAAACTGCTGCTGTCTCCATTGCCAACTGGCATCAGTTCATTCAGTGCTTACCAAGCACCTACAATGGTACCCGTCACTGCCCCAGGTCTTGGCTTTATTCAGTCCGCAAGGCCTGTGTGGCATGTACTTTCTATGCCTTTTGAGAGAACTTGTTCTCATCCTCTCCTCTCTCAGAGGTGAGAGAAATTAAAGTATCTATTTTCATCATTACAGACATTCATGCCACCAAGGCTGTGGACTGGAGCAACAGCCTTAAACACCAGCTGCAAGGCTGGGCACCAAACACAGATGACACAGGGTGAAGAACGTCTTCTTTGTAAGGCAGAAGTGCTCGAGCTGCTCCCTGGCAGGGGGGAAGAGGGAGGATGTGTTCATGGGGGTGTACAGTATTCCTTTCCCTGCTGTACAGAGCCACACGGAGCTGGAAACACTTTGTCCCAGTACACAATCTGTGAGAGTTCTTCACCAGCAGGTATGTGCTGGGGGGCGTGGATGAGGAGGAGGAAGGGACTTTTGGAGTGGCTAATGGCTCCACCTGGAGTCCTGTAGCCTCCCAGGTATACTAAAATGAAGATGGCCAAGGTGACTCCACCCTTGGGCAGGGAGCAAGTGCAGGGAAACAGCTGTTAACAGGAACCACAATTTGTACATGAAAGCGTATTTATTGAAAACCTGGTTACTGATGGGAAGCTCCTGGCCATTCTCTGGTTACTCTTGGCTCACAATTGGGTGTGTTACTTTTCCCCCATTTTACAGCCCTGCAAACATTTTGTCCTAGGATAGGTAGATATTATATAAATATATATACATGTCTGTATAAGTATGGCCTATAGTAAAGAAAATATATAGTACACTCTTCATTGGGTAGTACCTACCATGCCAGGGTATCAATACTGAAAGCCACTGTGTTAACGGGTCCAAGGGGAGAGGATGTGCATGTGGTTCAAGTGCTGAAGCACCAGGGAAGCCCCGTAGCACAGCTGTGGCCTTGGCTGACCCCAGCCAGCTCCCTGAAATCATGGCCAGTGGCAGAAACCACAGCACTAGGAAGGAGAGAAGGGAAGGCAAACTTCCTACAGTCTGGAGGCCAAAGGAAAACAAACTGGAGGGGCTGCAGTTCAAGCCAGTGGGAGATTTCTCCAGGAAGGAAAGATAAACGTAGGGGCAACCAGGGGGAATCCTGTGACCACAGTCAGTCCTGACCTAGGCCTCAGCGGGGCTTTCCCTGCAGTGTTCCTGAAACTAAGAGGGCAGGACTTGGACTGGAGGTCTCTGCCTGGCCAGGAAGAGACGGAGAGCTTGTATGGAGGAACATCCATCTGTTCTGATACCTTCATGGGCAAGAGAGATCTGATAGCTCTGGAGACCAGAGATGTTAGAGCCAAACCTCAGAAGCAGCAACATCTTGGCACCAGATGAGGCTAGAGTGAGCCCTCACGAAGAAGACAAAGCAAAGGCACAAGGCCTATATTCAGATCCACCCAAAGGCAGCCACTCCAAGGCTCTCAACATGCCCGGATTACCTGTCCTCTGCAGGCAGTTTTTCCTGAGCCATCTCTGGCTCACATGGGATCCAGCCAACAAGAGCAGCCTCAGGAAGGGAGGTGGGTGGCTGCTGTTAAACCCAGTTCAAGACAACAGTTTCTAGGCTGGAAGGCAGGGCACCTATCATTCATTCCTCATGGCCCAATCCCAGGCTTTGCGGTGACGGGAAGGCAAAGCACCCTGCCTCCATGACTCCTAGTAGGCAGGGACCAGGAAGAAGTTCTGTGTGGTCTGAGGTGGGTTTGAGGAGTGGCTGGCATTTACTGGCCACCACCATCACTGTAGTTTCTGTACAAGCAAAAGACAAGGCACCAGAGCTGAGTGTCTCTCCTGGGCCCAAATCCCTCCTGGGTACTGTGGTCTCTGGCTCCAGGCTCAGCCATAATGATAGACAAAGTCATAGCTGCTGGGCTCCTTGGGGACTGGTGGCGGTGCTTCAGGAATCTGGATGTTTTCCAGGTCCAGGAGCCGCAGCTTCATTTCCATGCTCAGCAGGGTATCCAGGTCACTTTTGGTCAGCTCACTGGACATGTCCTTACCCAGAAGGGCACTGAGGCCATCAATCCAGATGCAGTACTGTGGGGAGCAAGTTGCAAAAATGTCACATGGTAGCCATGGGGCCACAAGAGATCCTGCCAGAGTCCCTGTTCTGATGGAACTTACCACGGTCCCCTTTGCATTGCTTAAAACAGGCAAAACTGGTCATAGCAAAGATAAAGTGGGAAGTGGTCACACTTTTAATTACTAATTCTGGTTTTTATGGAAGATGTACAGTTAAACTCCCTAAAATAATATGAAGTGTGGCCTAAAAATAATTAATGAATAAAGCAAAATGAGACCTAAATCTGGAGCAACATCTACGTGAAGTTGGGTACAGATCTGTCATGATTATGGTGGTCAGTGAATGCTAGTCAGTCCCCCAAACTGGAGGCATATGGGGCAGAGGGTGTTAGGTGGATAAAATAGGACCCATACAGGAATATGGAAGTACCTCAGTTTTATTAAAAAAAAGTAAATTAAAAAGATCAGTCAATAAATGTTAAAAAGTAAGTACTAAAGAAATTGAGCTGGAGTTGTCGAGATGGGAGGGAATAACTTACAATTCTTCCCAACCTCCCCCCTGAAATCTTCCTGTATTCTCTGCTGCCGTTTTCCTGCCCTCCTGCCTTGTTCACCTGGCTCCCCGCCTGCGCATCCTTCCTTTCCTCCCACCTAAACTCTACTGGCAGCTCAGACCCTACCAACTGTATGTTCTTCTCAACACCTGACCTCTGGTTCTCACTGATAGCTCTCAGAGGTCACCAGGCACGTAGGATTTCAACTGCATTTACTCATTTAATGTCCAGCATCTTCAGAGCTGTGGGTAGAAATGTAGGCCCCTTGTCAGAAGAACCAGATCCACTGGCTTCAAAGCCCAGGCTGGATCCATGATGACATGTAACTGGGAGCCTTGAGTAGGGAGGACCTGTCAAGTCAAATTTGTATTGGGAACCACAGAAGAAATGAAAAGAGAATTTTTCTACTCCCAAGTGAATACGTTGTCCCTAGTTGGCCCCATGTTTCCAATATATGGCTATTGCTAAAGAATAACCTGGGGGCTGAGGTCGTGGCTCAGTGGTAGAGCGCTTGCCTAGCATGTGTGAGGCACTGGGTTCGATCCTCAGCACCACATAAAAGAAATAAATAAAGTTAAGTTAAAAAAAAAATTAAAAAAGAATAACCTGGGAAGACCAGTACGCAGTGAAAGGCCCACGGTGTGGCAAATTCTCAGCATCTGATGGCCTGCATGATCTGCTAGGCCACCTGCTTTGAGATGGATGCCCCTGTTCTGCCCCTCCTCCCCCCGCTGCAGAGTCCCCTCAAGGGCTGTGCTGTTCCGGGCAGCAGCACACTGCTCACCTCATATTTATTAGGAGCGATGAAGTTTAAGGTCTCGTCAGGGTCATACAGGATGGAGAAAGCCAGTTCCAACACCTCCTAAAGGAGAAAGGGTGTCAGTTATTTGGAACAACATAATGGCCTGGGCTCTGCACATCAGGATCTTGGCCAAAGTCACCAAATGCATTGATTTAGTTGTGATATCCCCAAGGCCTGTAGGCATGCACACAGATGTGGCTAGAGATAAGGCCCAGTGGTCATCGACTTTAACTCTTCACCTAAGTCCTGCCTAAAATGTGGTGATACTTTTAAGATGGGACAAGTCATTTCAACACTCAGAACCCTTGCATGTCAGAGTCCTTGACTGTATGTTGTTAAAACTTTTTTATTTTACATAAAAAATGACTGGATTTCTCTTTCTATCATGCTATAATTAGCACAGGGAAGTCTTCACAATTTTTTAAAAATTACCAAAAAACAAACTGCAGACAAAGACAATTTGAGCATCCAATAAAATAACTGCAATGGACTGAATGAAACAAATATAAATTGCTTATATCCATGACTTCATAATAACACTAAAAAAACAAAGCAAAATAGACAGAAAATTGGTTATTATTGAATGATAACAGGGCACTCACTGTCTTAAAAGTACGTACATAAGAAAAAAGAATCAAGCATGGATCTTCCTTTCTTAATGAACTGTACTCCTAGGAAACCAAAACTAAATAAGGGCAAATTTCAGACAGAGAAGTTCAGCTCATAAGTGAAAAAGGAATAACTACATTGGGACGTCCCTCGTTTGCAAATCTTAACTTACTAACGACGTGGGCACCAGCAGTGAGTCTGCTGATGTGGCCCAAAGGAGACACCAGACCTTAGGAGCCTCCTGACAGATCACGAGACAATCTGTGAGGGGTCTTGCCAGAAAAAGGACAAATGTGAACCAAATCAAACCTCTAGATCCCTCTACCAATTTACAGATCTGGGACAGAGGAGCAAGTTAAACTAGACCACAGGGAGACATTAAGCAAAATTCAGACTCTGGAAAACTACCAAACAAGCATCCTGATTTCTTCAACAAATAAACTAAAACAAGGAAAAAAAAAGATGGAAAATACAGCAGGGGAACTTATGAATGAAAAAACTTTAAAAAAAAAAAGACTTATTATGATGTATAGACTTCGGATTCTGATTTAAATAAAATGGCTATTCTGGGCATGGTGGCACATGCCTGTGATCCCAGTGGCTTGGGAGGCTGAGGCAGGAGGATCTTGAGTTCAAAGCCAACCTTAGCAACAGTGAGGCGCTAAACAACTCAGTGAGAACCTATCTCTAAAGAAGATACAAAATAGGGCTGGAGATGTGGCTCAGTGGTCCAGTGCTCCTGAGTTCAATCCCTGGTACTGCCCCACCCTTCCCCTGCCAAAATGGTTATGAAGGTGTGTGAGTAAGCATCTAAACCTTTACATAAAGAAATTATGACATTTATAAGACAATTGGTGGACATCCCAAGATGTACAAAGTATTTGATTAGAGGGTTCTATCTATTTTTTTGTATGTTCAAAATTCTTACTAGAACATTCAAAAATAACTTAAAGAGAGGGGAAGAGAGTGAGCATGTAGCTAAACAACACCCCCCACTGGCTGCACTCTGCAGGTATCACTGTGCCGGCTGCTCAGGACTGTGTTTCCACTCACCTTATTCTGTTTCAGAGCACTTTTCTCTTTCATGTGGGGACAATCTTTCCCAGTGACAATGGCCTTAATGTCTGCAACAGGAACTGATAAATGGTGGGAATTAGCATCTGGAATCTGATGCTGCAGGCTGGTCAGTGCTTGCCTCAGGGCTGGAAGGGAAGCCCTGGGCAGAGTGCCAGGGAGCTGCAGATCCCAGACTTGAAGGGCTCTAGTGCCTCAGGAAGAGTGGCTGTGGACCATGGCCTCGCAGTGTTCCCTCCTCCTTGGTCACTTTCCATAGACCATGGTTTAGTGAGGCTGTCTCATTGGGCATCACTGTGGGGCTCCTGGTTTAATTCCCAAGGAGAGGGGCCTTGGACACTTCACAGAATGAAGGTGACAATGCCATCAGAGCGAAGGTCAGTGGCAGCTGAAGACTGGGCTAACTGCCCACCAGCCATTCTTGACCACCCATGCAGACCTCTAGGAGGGTGACCATCATTACCATTTTACAGAAACACCCAAAGCAGAGGGGAGAGTTAACTTGCAATTAATCAGAATTAATCACTAATTAGGGGGAGAGCCAGGATCTAAATTCAGGCTGTCCAGCACCAGAGCGTTTTACAACCTACAGGGCATGTTCACATCTGTGACCTCATCAATTTCCCAAACAACCAGAGAGGTGGGCCAGGCAGGTGATCTCTGGCAGATAAGGAAACAGGTTCTGAGCGAGCTTGGGCCCAAGAACAGACCTCAAATAGCCAGGACTAGAGTTCAGGTCTGCTGTCAAGTCTAGCTACTACAACACATCAGCAGAGAAATGAACCTACTTTTCTCCTGCAGGGATTCAAATGTCACCTCTCCTTGAGGGTTGTCATCCAAGTCACCGTAGTGCAGGACCTTGTGGTTCAGTGCTAATCGGCAGTACCAGAACCGTTCTGGAATACAAGGAAACCAAGCCGGTGGACTGGGACAGTACTGGGAAAGGCCTGGGCCCACAAAAGACAGAAGGACGACTGGCCTGCCTGCTCCCTCCAGGGGCCACCAGGCAGCCTCCTCCTGGCCGCAGGGAGTCTGTGGGTGAGGACCAGCCCAGTGTTCCTGTCTCCTCACCTTGCCTTCGGCGATTCCCTATCTTTCGGAAGCTGCTGCCCTCACAGAGCCTGTTCAGGCGCTGCTGCTTGATCAGCTCAAGGATCTCAGGCTGGATCTTCTCCCTCAGCTCCCTAGGGTGGACATGCACTGAGTGAGGAGAAGGTCATGGGGATGGTGGTGCTCCTGAGGGCACAGCTGGCAGCTGCCCCTTCCCTCCCAGGCTCCTCCAGGACAGCACTTACACAATCGGCGGGGACTGGAAGTCATCCTGACTCATCCTCTCAGATTGGCGCAGTCTTAGAATCTCAGAGTAGCTTAGGCTACGCAGTTTGCTCTTGAACTGATCCAAGGAGTTGGGTTTGGAGGGCAAAGCTCGCGTGATCTGCTCTCGGACGACCTGCATAACCTGAGAGGAAAGAAGGCAGCAACTCATGCCACTGCTCTGATAAACGGACAGGCTCTCCTCAGCTCCTGAGTCCCGAGTCCTAGAGATACCTGCTGGGTGACTTTCTAAGAGACACCCTTTAGTGGCTACTCAGGTCAAGTGACAGATGGTTAAATGGAAGGCAAGCACGGTGCCTGGCACACCGTGGTGTGCGGATGGTCTGGCTGCCCCACTGGGTGTGCGGATGGGAAAGCTGTGGGGAAGAATAGGGCACATCGCAGCAGTGGCTGGTGCTGGGTGGTGGAATTATAGGTGACGTTTGCTTCTTTATACTTTTCTATTTTTTAAATGAGATGATTAACTTTAAAACCCTCATCTCCTAGAGTGTCAGCATGCAAGGGCCTGGCACAGTGCCAGGAGTGGGCACCCCGAAAGCACCAAGGGACGATTATCAATTAAAACCCATGATGCCCAGAGGATGCCTGTGGCCTCCTGACCTCTCTCTACATCGGCAGTTCAACAGCAACCACACGCAGTCCGTGATAAGCCACAGCTGTTCTGCTATGCTAATTTTCCTGCCCCCAGCCAAGGGAGATAGGCGGGGCAGGTGCTGGCTTCACTGGGCAAATGAGGGCCTTGGGCACTAAGACTCCCACTCAAGGTCACAGAGGAAGTCACAACCAGATGAGACCCAGGCTCTCCAACACCTCAGTGTTGTGACTCAGCACTGCAGACAAAGCTGGTTTTCTCTCTCAGGGGTTCCCCAGGCACTGGCCAGCTGTCAGAGAACACTGAGTGATAATCTTGCATGGGCCTCAGAGCAGCTTGGTGACACTGACCTTGTTGAAGTCCTCTGCTGTTGCCCTCATCTCTTTCCAGGTCTTGTTCAACAGCTGGATGCAGATTCCAAAGAGCTCTTCAAATGCTCGGTCATGGGTAAAGAACATTGGGTGGTAGTCATTGCGCCCTTCGTTTGCTGCAGGAGAGTAACAAAGGCCGAAGGCTATGTCCATGGGGCCTGGGAAGCTCACATCCAGAAGCTTTGGTTCTCTGCACCAAAGTTCCAAAGAACCAGAGCAGATCAAGAACCAAGGCTGCCAGGGAGCACGGGTGGGTCTTTCTCCCTCCCTAGCTTTCTTCTCCAGGCTGCTTTTCCTGGTTTCCTCTATCCTGTTAGGGCCCAGCTACCTCTGAAACACAGTGCTGCACCTTCTGATTACACCTCAAATTACCAGCTTAAACAAAGCAATGACCATGATTTCCACAAAGATAAGATGGATGACCAGCTCAGGTAGTAATTTAAAATACCCCAAGATTGTCCAGGCCACTGACATCTAACTGTTGACAACCTGCAGTCTCAAAAGGTTCCTGGCTAAAGGAGGAGAGGAAGCTGCAGAGACTTACGTAGTTCCCCAACCTGCAGGATTTCACAGAGCATTTTGGTGAGCTCGATGGCACTACGGCCAAATGGGCATTCATGTTTGTCTTCTCGGCTGCTGTTCTCCAAGACAATCTGTGGGGAAGACACAAAGAAGGATTAGGGAGGTGAGGGAGGAAGACAAGAGATGGGCACTGGGAGCAAGGCCAACTCCTGCCACCTTTACCCGGATGTAGGTGTCCTGGTGGACTTTAGCCAAGTACAGCATGTTGTCCAAGGCCAGCATTCCAGGAGGAGTCTGGGTAAAGTCCAAGGCTGGGTTGATATGGTTCTGGAGAAACAGAGACAACTGATCTAAGACTCAGTAGTGCTCCCATGTGTGCAAAGACCTTAAGGGAAGCCCTATGCTCTCCCTCTGTCTGCTGCCAGCACCTCATGCTTTCTACCTTGGTCCTAGCTCTTTTTGCATTCCCATCTCTGTGACTGAACTGGGAGCTCTCAAAGAGCTGGACTGTGGCTGCCTCATCGTGCATCCCAGGGCCTAGCTGCTGCCAGGCACTGAGCAGGTTTGCAGCAAATCCATAAACCAACTCCACCCTACAGTCATGTTCTACCATAAAATTGTCATGATAGCTTTGCAAAGAACCTAGCTGTTTAGGGAACAGGTCCCCATTCTACCCACTGCGGCGGATCTCCTGGGCCCACCCCCTGATGAATGTGTTTCACGGGGCCAAAACTTGCAAACTTGTTACTACCAAAGCAAACCAAACATCAAGACCCAAGGCTACCATTATGAAGGAAGATTTATCAGCCTGTCTAGATGGACCTTCTGACTTCCTGTCAGAGGGGAAAGCCTACCATCCTCTATTCTTTACTTACAGTAAATCCCAACATTTTGTAGTCCTTGGTGTACATGGCTTTGCGTTTTTCAGTCCCACTCCCAGGAACATTGCTAGGGTCAGATTCAGCATCAAACGCAATCCTCCTTAGTTCAAATATAATATCCCTTTGAGCCTGACAGGTGAAGAGACAATCAGCAAGTGAGTCAGTCAGCCAAGGGAAGGAAGAAGGGAAGAGTGGGGCAGGCTATCCAGAGCCAAACTCTGGCCCCAATCAATCTCTTGGGAGGCATTGCCTCTACCCCAGCAGAAATAGGCAAGGCCCAGAGACTCCCTTAGTAGGCAAACATCACACTACTTTTCAGGGAAGATAAAGACCACACATAGTACCTGGCACAGACCAAAGGGATGCACAGCAGGGGTAAGAAAACAGCACTTCTAAGCAGGAAGGCACTATCCCACTTAGCACCTGCCTGGTCATTAGGGTCCATCTTGGTCATCATCCTTTCTTCCAGAAGGTTAAAGGTCAGGACTTGAAGGACATAGAGCTGATGGGCCATCTCTGTTTTGATTGGGCGGTTCCCTCGGATCACATGCTAGAAAAGGCAAAGGCAGAGAGCAGGGGGCTGAACTGTCTCTGTTTCTGAAGAAGTGCCATAGACATGCTGGTGAAAACAGTGCACCGCAGGGAACGAGCTTCCTCCGACACCCAGGGACTGCGTGTTCTGGAAGGAGGCACAGTGTGAAAGGGCTGGAGTCAGGCACCTGAGGGAGGCTGAGGGCGCCCGCCCTTCCTCTGTACTCCGTCCACGGCGAGGTGGAATGGAGGGCAGAGCTGCACCTGCTTCAACTGTGCCTGCCATGGGTCCACCCATCAGCTTAGAAGATGGGGCCTCAGGGATGGACCCTACTAAGTCCAGGGCAACAGACAGGTCATGGAAAAAGGGTCACTTTTTCCTTAAAAAATGTATGTTTTCATGGCTTCACCCAGTAGAGAAGCTTTAGGAAGATCACTTTCTTCAAATGCTATTGCGACTATATGAGGAGCATCCACCTTTGTCCAAATCCTTACACTGCCCTGTCCCCTCCTTTCTCTCTCACACCTGTGCCCCTGTCCCATTATCTGTGTATGTCCTGCTCCTGTATCCCCCCATCAGGTCCTTTGTCCTCCTCTGTCCTGCCCCTCGGTGGCCCCACCCTCCCCTCATGATCCCATGCCTGCCCCACTTCAGGTGCCCTCATTCTGTCCGCCTGTCTTTCTCTCGCAGGTGTGTCCGCCTGTCTGCCTCTCACCATCCTGTTCTCCAACCACGAAACCCTCCCTTTCCTCCTGGCTCCCTGTACCTTCCCGCTCCCCCACTCTGTCTCATCCTGTCAGTGGGGTTCTTTCTGGTTCACATGAGCCTCTGTCAAGTTTCCCACATCCCTCCTCTTCAGGGTCTCTTCTCAGCAGCCCTGTCTCCAGAGCTGTGCTGTCCAAAGTGCTGGTTATTTATATTTAAATCAGTTAGAACCTATTTAGATTAACAATTCTTTGTCTCCCCAGCCACTGTGGCTAGTGGCTGCCCGGCAGGTGCCCTTCTCCAGAGGTCTCTAATTCTAGACACCTATCTTTCCAAGCTCCTGACACTTTAGGTCAGTTCTCTGTAGAGCTTGCTCTGGCTCTAGATTAATCTCCATAGACCTCTGCAGTCCAGCTGTGGCCACTAGGCAACAAGTGGCCGTTGAACACCTGACAGGTAGCTAGTCCAAGCCATGTGTTATGTCAAATGAGAACCACAACTTGAAAACTTAGTATGAAAAAAAATGTAAAATATGTCATTAATAATGGTTTATATTCATTACACGTTGAAATGATGTTTGGGGTATCTTAGGTTAAATAAACTATATCATTAAGCTTAATTTTCCCTATTCCTTTCTTCTTTGCCAAACTGGGATCAAAAACAGGGTCTTGAAAGTAGTAGGCAAGTGCTCACCACTAAGCTATATCCCCAGCTCTTTTTAAATTCTTTCATTTTGAGACAGGGTCTCCCTAAGTTGCCCAGGCTGGCCTTGAACTTGTGATCCTCCTGTCTTAGCCTCCAAGTGACTGGGATTTATAGGCATATGCCACTATACTCAGTTTTCCTTACTCCATTTCTGGGGGCAGTGGGGTGGGGGGGCTGGGAATTGAACCCAGGGGCACTTAACCACTGAGCCACATCTGCAGCTCATTTGTAAGTTACGTTTTTTATTATTTATTTTGAGACAAGATTTTGCTAAGTTGCTTAGGGCCTCACTAAGTTGCTGAGGCTGGCTTTCAATCTGTGATCCTCCTGCCTCGGCCTCCTGGGCCACTGGGAATATAGGTGTGCTCCACTGTGCATGGCATCCCTTACTCCTTTTTTAATGTTGTAACCAAAACATTTAAAATTAAATATATGGATAAACTTTATTTCCACCAGCTGGGCTGCTCTAGACCTCTTCCCTAGCTGTGACTCTGTGCTTTCTTCCTCATCTAGATGGTGCTATCCAGTAGAGTTGCCATAATCAGAGTATGAGTATTTAAATTTAATTGAAATTACAATTGCACATTCATTTCCTAGCCACATTAGACTCATTTCAAGTGCCAAGTGGCTACCATTTTGGACAGCAGTTCCATAAACTAGAGCAGGTGCCAATGCAGTTGAGCCAAGTCTTGTCTCACCCTCCCTCTGAACTGGGGACTCCTTCTAGCCCTCTGTCTCCCCAGAATGCCTGTGCCCAACTGTCTCCTTCTCTGCTCTCATGGCCTGGACTCTCTGCCCTGCCTCTGCCGTTTCTTACCCCCTCCACGCCTCTTCTGCTCACTGAACCTTTTCTTTACTGTTCCCTCTTGCTACTACCCTGATTTCTCCGGCTCTTGGTTTTCATTCACTTTAATCCCCTTTCTCAAACTAAAGAGACACCATGATGGTTAATTACTCTAGCCAGCGAAGGTCTGGGGAAGTACAGCTGTAGCTTTGGAGGTCTTGTCTGAAGGCTTACTCGGCTCACTCTACTGCCAAACTATCTAAATCCCTGGGCTTCAGTGAGCATGCATTAACCATTTCCTGGCAGGTCATTTAAGTCCTGATGCTGAATCATCTTCTGTAGTGGAATTTTTGCTTGTTCACAAGATTTGTCCAGAAATGAGCTGATTTTCTAAGCCTATTCAGGAAAAGAAGACTCAAACATAATTAATTTCCCGGGAGGGGCACCCTCAACCCCACATGAAGACGAGGGTGCCTGGAGAGCTGCTCAGAAGTGCTGCCAGCCATGCATGAGCACCTGTGCACTCCCAGTCACTTGGGGGCTGCATTCCAGTATTAGCTGGAGCCCTTCCTCCTGGGCTGGTGGCTGGGCTTTGACAGTAGGGAGGAGCAAGTTCTGCAAGGTGAAGTTTGTAGACTACAAGTTCAAAACAGCTGACTGCTCCTCTTCATAGGTGCTCAGGGCTTACTTCCTCAATTCCATCTCCCTTGCATCCTGTTCTGCCCATAGAGTGGAGGCTTACCAAGTGCCAGACACCCTGCTGAGCACATGTATATCTGTGTCTATGTGTGGACATGCGCATCTCATTTAGTCCTTGCATCCAGATGAGCAAATTAAAGCCCAGAGAAGCGAAGTGAACTGTTCAAGATCAAAGAAGACTGGAAAATCACAGAGCAGGGGCTGATCAATTCCAATGTCCATGTTCAGCATTATTTTTTTAACACTTGACTCCTGAGTTTTCCTTTATTCCTTTCACTGTGGTCTCTTGTTTTTGATAACTAATAGAATTGTTTCCTTTTAATCTAGATCCCTGGCTCTCCTTCCCAGCTCCCGGCTCCCCTACTACCCACTCTGTCCTCCTGCACCTGACATCACCACCACAGTAACAGCACAGGACCCTCCTTCCAGCACCCTGCCTGGCAATTCCTTCTCTCCTCTCCTCTCTTCTTCCCCCCTCAGGAAACAACACATCTCTTCCTTGTGGTCTTTCTAAAATGCAAACCGGCTCTCTTGCCACTAAGTAAATCCCCTCAATTGTCCCTAGACTAAGGCCTTCCTTGATCTGGTCCCTATGCTGCTTGCCCTCGCCTGCGCTCAGTCACATAGTGCGTGATTCCAGATGGAATCCTGTTCTTCCTGGTGTGCCTACTTGTCCTCCAGGGCTTACCCAAAGACACTCCTCCCTCTAAAGGCTTCCTGACACGCTGAATCTAGGTGAGGATTCATTGTTCCTGTTGTCCTCTCCAAGACCACAAATCTCTATAGAAGCACTGACCACATCGTGCTACCATCACTGTTTTTCCTACTGACCAAAGATCTTTGACAGCATGCAGTCTTATTCATCTCATCAGTGCCCTACATGATTCAGGCTTATAATCAGTGTGAATTGCTTTCCTCTTTTTTTTTTTCTTCTTTCTTTTGTGGGGATTGAACCCAGGGCTGCTCTACCACTAAGCTACATCCCCAGATCTTTTTATTTTGAGACAGGGTCTCAGTAAGTTGCCCAGGCTGGTCTTAAACTTGCAAACTTTCTGTCTTGGCCTCCCAAGTAACTGGGACTCTAGGTGTGTGCCACCACACCCAATTATTGTGCCTATTTTAACATACACCCTCTGATGAACATTCTGGAGTTGTAACAAGTAGTCAAGCAGTAGAGCTGGCCTTAGTCTCTTCTTGAAGTGCTGGAATTTCTAGTGGGATGGCTTCCCAGAGACAATTCTGCTTACAGAGGATTATATGAAAATCTTAACAGTTTAAGAACAGTGTAGTGGGCTGGGGATATAGCTCAGTGGTAGAGTGCTTGCCTAGCATGCATAAGGCCCTAGGTTTGATCCCTAGCATGATAGAAAAAAGTGTTATGGTTTAGATATTAAGTGTTTCCCCAAAGCCCAAGTATGAGACAATGCAAAGAAGTTTAGAGGTGAAATGATTGAGTTATGAGTATTTTAACGGGATCAGTACAATAGTCTCCAGATGTGGATTAAGTGGATGGTAACTGCAGGCAGGTAGGGTGTGGCTGGAGAGGTGGCTCCCTGGAGGTATGCCTTTGGGGTATACATTTTGTCCTTGCTGAGCTGAGTGCTCTCTCCCTGCTGAACTTCTTTCCTCTGCTACTTCCTTCCACCATGATTTCTGCCACACCTTGAGCCTCTGGGGATGGAGTGGGCTGTCTAGGAACAAGACCGCCGAAACTGTGAGTCCCCAAATAAACTTTTCTTCCTTTAAAATTGTTCTTGTCAGGTCTTTTGGTCAGAGCAGCAAAAAAGATGACGAAAACAAAAGGTTTAATATCTATTAAGTTCCCTCTGTGTACCCTAATACACAACAGTGATTTTAATAATAATAATAACTGGGCTGGGAATGTGGCTCAGGCGGTAGCGGGCTCGAGTTCGATCCCCAGCACCACATACCAACAAAGATGTTGTGTCCGCCGAGAACTAAGAAATAAATATTTAAAAAAAATTTCTCTCTCTCTCTCTCTCTCTCTCTCCCCTCTCACTCTCTCTTTAAAAAAAATAATAATAACTATAATGATAGTTATAATTGCTATTAATAGTAACAAAATGTGTTTAGGGACTTACATTCAGGATTATGGATCGAAGGTGCTTCTGTGCAAATGCATTGGCCATATCCTGTGGGAAAAAATAAGCAAATGTAAGGAAAGATGGCATGCACACATGTGTGATTAGTAACCAGAGGAAGGTAATGTCAGCTTTTCTTTTCCCCTTTCTTAAAGTTTTCTTCCCTTTCCAACAAAATGTGGGTGAGAAGAAAATCTACTGACCATCAAATGTATCTTACACTCTATCAAGAACCACCCTCCCTTTTTAATGAGTGCAAATCAATTCAAATAGAATTTTCCACCTAATGGCACAATCAACCACATGTCTTCACAGAAGGACATGGACGATGAGACACTGTGTTACAAGAATGCTGGGCAATGGACATTGCACAGAGCACGAGCAGCATGATAGTTCCCGAACTACAGGCATCATTGCAGGCCACTGCCCAAGCTGGACAGGACTCTGCAGAAGCACCGACTCCAGACTGAGCAAAAGGCTAGCCCCAGCCCCTCCTCCAGCTCCCCAACAGTCAGGGCTGGGGATGGGTGCCCCAAAACAGACAGTAACCCATCGCTTCTCTCTTACTTAGAGAGCAATGTGCTCTCATAGTAGGTTCATTTACCTTTTTAAAAAATTATTATATTTGGCTTAGATTTTGACAGTGATGATTTGCTTATTTTGCATGCCCAGGAAATAAAGTATCCTACACAAATGAACCTTCCAGGGAGCAAAATCTTAAGGGTTTATTATTTTACCATTCTTATGCAAATCTTTAAGAATATATACATTCTTTATTCTGAAGAGCCTACAATGGTTATAATTTAATCTTTGCCAAGGACTTGGCTTCATCAAAAAGAACAGTGATTATTCTCTGCTATGACACTGTATCACCCTGAAGAGCTATTGAAATGTGAAGCTATTTTCCCCTAAACAAAATGGTCCCAGATTACAATGCTTTTAATTTTCCTGACAGCTTTTCACAATAGTGCCGTTCCTCCTTCCAATGTCAGCCATCACTTCTTCCCAATGTTAATTAGTATGATTTCACTTTCTAAGCTGCTGCCTTCACTTAATTTTATAGATAATTCTAAGTCAAGGAGATGAACACCTCTCCTGTGGTATAGTATCTATGATCTCTGTCATTTTCCCTCAAGCTGAAAGGCCTTCCTCTTTCCTTTCCAATTTGTACTCATGACCCAGATGACTGACACCGCCAGGAGCTCTACGTTTTACTTTGCATGCCTTGAGCACGTACTGCTGGCAGAGAGGAGCGTGGCCTAGAAACTTCCTTGGTATCTATAGGAGGTCAGTTGAGATTTAACCTTGCTGTGGTCAGTAACAGACTGTGGCCAGGAGCTGGAGTACAAGCCTCACACCAAAGCCTCTCCTTGACGCTAGGGAAGGAAGCACTCATTGTCTTTGGTATCTCGTAAAGCTGGCCTCTCGAAGCTTCCCTCTAACCAAGACATGAGCATGTGGGATCCCTTTTGTCAATTAAGTCTTCTTGAATTCCCCAAAGCATGTGGATTGACCTTCACCCTTTTGCTATAGCAAATTAGGAGGCGATGCTTCCATGGCATCCTCTGGGTGAAAGTCACAAGCTTTTTTTTTTTTATTTTACTTTTTAAATATTTTTACTTGTAGATGGACATAATATCTTTACTTTATTTGTTTATTTATATTTATTTAGTGCTACAGATGGAACCCAGTGCCTCACACATGCTAGGCAAGTGCTCTACCACTGTGTTACAATCCCAGCTCTTTAAAAAAAAAAAAAGATTTTTAGTTGTACATAGACACAATGCCTTTATTTTATATTTATGTGGCACAGACTACTTTTGAATCTGACCTTCCTTTGCTGACCACAGAATGTGCAAAGCAAATCACAAAGGAAAAACTGGACCTCACTCCCTGGGGCAGACCTGCCTTCAATCCTTCCTATGATGCTGAGCGTCCTTGGGTCCTGACAAAGGAGACTTACAGCTTTCAACCTTTCCCTAGGCCTTGGCATAGCCTGAACATCCTGATCCGCCCATAAGATTCCTGCCCAGCTTTGACCTCCCCACCTGGAAGACAGCCAGGGTCCCTTCCACACAGCGGTGCTACTTACAGTGACAGGCAGGTCTAGAGGATTAAGGTGCTTGTCCTGCCGGCAGAAAGCAAAAAGCACAGAGAGAAGCAGACAAATGAGCTTCAGCTTACATTCAAATGAGGAGGACTCAGGAGGAGGAGTTTAACAGAGCCACACCATCCAGGACAGACAGGACAGACAGAACCACAGATGTTTCTGCTCCTCCCGCTATAATCTATCAAGAGTTTGGCTATTCCACTTGGACTTTCCTTTATGGAGCCCATGATATTGACAGAAAACTAAAAAGCCTTAGTTCTGTACACAAGTTGGGCATTTATCAGAGAGCCCTAGAATGTTAAGGGTTGGAAGGGCCCTCAGAGATCATTTAATCTGGCCATTTCATCTTACAGGAAGAGAAAATGAGACCCAGAGAAGTTAAAACATTTGCTCAACAAAAGGCAGGAAAAGTAGTTGTCTCAGGCCCCTTGACTCTTAGGTAAGTGCCTGTTCTACTGCCCGGATGACAGCAGGTTCTCTCATTGTATAACAGGTGTCTGCATAATGACATCCTTATGAGGTAAACGCGCGGCTGCTGCTGCTCTGCTATAGGGGAGGAAATAGAGAGGCAGTGTGATTTGCCTACTGTCACACAGCTAAGCAACAAGGAAAGAGAGACATATAGGATTTGGTACAGAGGACCTTTAAACAGAAAACTTGGTGCTAAGTTCCATTTGTTTGAGACTCCTCAGAACTCAACAGAAGTGCCAAGAGGGTCTTGACTTTCCTTATTCTTGATCCTCTATCCCAGAAGTTAGCAAACTAGGGCTACACCAGGCGTGTTACACGCCTGTCTGTGTAAATAAGGTTTCACTGAAGACAGCCACACCATTCATTTACCTGCCCCTATGGCTACTGTGGCTACAAAGGCCAGGCTGGACAGCTACCACAGAGAATGTATGGTCCATGAAGTGGGAAATATTTACTCTGGCCCTTTAGAAGAAAAGTTTTCAGGCCCTGCTGTGATCTAAGACCCAGCTCCTTTCCCCTCCTGGTGCCTTCCCAGGGCTTACTTAGCCAAGCCACCCTGCTGGGCTCTGACCACAGAAAGTTAGGGGAAATGGTTGCATTTCTGTTGTCTAGAGAGCAAAGACTGGATAGAGTGAGGATTCTCTCAGAAAAGCCCAAATGGAAAGTTTGGAAAGGCAGCCACAGACCTGTCGCTTGTCCTCAGGAGCCTTCAGAAAAAGTGCGTTAATCAGTGCGATGGCGTAGGTCTGAATCTCCTGGTTGGAGCTGTGTCAATGGAAAAAAGAAGCAGAGGGAGATTAGAAGAGCAAGATCATACTCACAGATGGTCCAACACAATCACTTGCAGACTGCAAACAAATCTCTACCTGGGGCTGAGTTTCAAAGGCATTTAAACTGGGCATATCCATGATCCGTAGTTACTAAAAATCATGCATTTGGATAAAGATTCTTTTTTTGGTCTTTTTTTAAAAAATTAATTCATATAATGGTTTAGAGGGTTGTTTGGTTGTTGCCTTATAGCACTACAGATTGAACCCACAGACACTCTACCACTGAGCCACATCCCCAAGCCTTTTAAACTCTTTTTATTTTGAGACAGGGTCTCACTAAATTGCTAAGGCTGGCCTTGAACTTGTGGCTACTGTGGTTACTGCCTTAGCCTCCTGAGTCACTGGAATTATAGGAATGCGCCACAATTGTCCAGCAAAAGTAGATTCTTAACCTTGAATTCAGGGATCCGCTTAGAGACTATAAACCCCAGAATGGCACAGAAATTATTCTATGCATTTAAGTAAATATATGATACTTTTTCCAAAGAGAGAAGAGTCCATAGTTGGTATTAGATTTTCAATGGTGTCTGGAATGTAAAAAAGTTTTAGAATTATCCTTTCAAAAGAATCTTTGACATGGAAAAATGTTCAAGATATTATTTGTTTAAAAAAAATTACCAAGGTACACATAATATGCGTAGTAAGACCCCAATTTTATTAAAAATATGGAAAGAAATAAACCTAGAGGAATATTTAGTACTTAACAGTGGTTATGTCAGGAGTGGGATGGTTGGCCAAAAATGTACTTTATTGTGCTTTTCTAAAGTGTGACTACAAACTTATCCTACTTTATTAAAAAAAAAAAAAAAAAAAACTTGGGCTGGGATGTGGCTCAACTGGTAGTGTGCTCGCCTGGCATGCGCGTGGCGCTGGGTTCGATCCTCAGCACCACATACAAACAAAGATGCTGTGTCCGCCGAAAACTAAAAAATAAATATTAAAAAATTGTCTCTCTCTCTCTCTCTCTCTTTCTCAAACAAACAAACAAACAACAAACTATACCCATTTTTGGAATCTCATAATCCCGACACTTGACATCCCCTGCCACGTTGTGGAAGCATCCTGTGGCTCTTTTTCCAGTGGGGCTCATGGGCTTCCTGGTTAGGCAGGGACATCTCAGGACTCTAATGGAGGGCACTAAGTGGCCCCTGCCCAAACAGCAGAACACAAATGTGCTGATTATCAGCCATGGGCTGAAAGTGGTCATGACATATCTCTAACAAGTGCCATGGTCCTCTTTCATCCTCAGGGAGGGAATTGGGGATGTCCCCAAATCACACACAAAGAAACAGAATGGTAGGTTCAAGGTCACCAGAAAATCAGAACTTGATCCAGTGCCCTTCATGTTCCCTCCCCCTAATCAACCTGTTGGCTCTTCAGGTATGAAAGTTAAAACTGAAAAATTCCTTAAAAGTGACAAGGTAGAATGAGAAGTGCAAAGAAATCACTGTGCTTTTGTTTTACTTGGATTAGGAAGGAAACATGGGTCAGGAGCATAACTGAGTAAAGACGGGGCTGCTGTACACTCCCAGTGGGGAACCATGCCTCCATCGGGGTACAGGGAGTCTGCAGCATTACCCCCCTGGCATTGGGAAGTCCAGCCCCCTTCCACTGTGTAGCCTGGATCAAACTGCAGAAAAGGAACGGAGAGCAAAGAAACGGACCTCCCAAAGGTTCATTTGCCATCTGGTTTTATTATCTAACAAAATGTTTTAGGATGTAAAAAGCCTCTTAAAAAAAACAAACAAAAGCAAAACACCCTGAATTTATTGAATACCTAAGATGTGCTGACCTTAATACTAGTCCTTTTAAAAATCTCCTGTGTCCTCACAGTCTGGGAGATGGGGACTCTAATCTAGAGATGAGGAAACTGAGGCCAGAAGAGACTAACTAGGTAATTTGCTGAAGGCAGAGACCTTTAGGCCGCAGAACGTGGTGGATCTTTACTGGTTCCTGAAGTCACACCTTGTTCTTTCAGCAAGCATTTACCCAACAAATACTGAGCTTCTACTTAAATCAAAGCCAGGGACACAAAAATGATCAGTCCTTGTTCTCATAAAGCTCCAAAAAAAAGCAGATAATAGGGCTGGGGATGTGGCTCAAGCAGTAGCGCGCTCGCCTGGCATGCGTGCGGCCTGGGTTCGATCCTCAGCACCACATACCAACAAAGATGTTGTGTCCGCCAAAAACTAAAAATAAATATTTAAATATTTTTTTTAAAAAAGAAAGCAGATAAAAAGACACATATATTACATATAAATATAACTATCATAGGTATGAACAGAGCCCGTTAGGTCCACAGGAGAAGCAGCATGTAATTCTGTCTGGTCCCTAGGTGGTCCCCAGGGGAGACTGGGAGAAGCTCCACTGTGGCCTTGTGGGGCAAGGAGTTCAGACAAGCGCATGATGTGATCAGGCTTGGATCATGAGGGGAATCTGACAGTCCTGTGGAAGAGGTGATGGATGAAGGATGCGCACAGCTTGGAAGACATGAAAAGCAGAGGTGGCACTAGAAGACAACAGAGGAGGGACGAGAACAAACAAGTGGGAAGAGGCAGGGTGGGGTCTCTTACACCTGCAGGTGCGAGATGAGCTGTCCCACGGTGATTTCCTCTGCTATCTTCTGGTACAAACTTTGGCTGTTCAAGACCATGCTCTCCAGGATGGCCAGGGACCTCTGAAGGATTGACACATCCACCATGGGCTGGCTCACGTACCCTGCAATCTAGACCCAGAGAGGAGCAAATCAGTTGGGAAGCTCAGGACCCAGGAGAGCTGAACAGCAGAGCTGAGCCGCTGAGGCACCTTCCTTGGGCATGCCTGTATTTGGGCTGCTGTAGCCAGGTGGACAGTTGTATCTGGTTTATGGTACCCTGGCCAATGTGCCAGCATTCCCTAGGCATGAATATCTTAATGGCAGATTATAGTAGTCACTCAATTATGTTTCCTCAAAATCTAAGAGCTCAATCCTTTTCTTCAAAACAAGGAATTAGGTGTGAGAAAGCTGAGCAAGTTGAGTGTGGAAAACTATAAAGATTTACTGATGCTGGGATCTCATTTTATCTCATCTACTCTACTTCTGACATATACTTTCCCCTATACACATTCAGAACATCACAGACTTTGAGAGGCAGAAAGGACCTTGAAGTCTTTTAATCTAATACCTCTTTTCAACCTCCATTATAATATCCTTGACACATGGTCATTTCACTTTTGCTCAAATGCCTCCAGTGTTTGGAAGTTCCCAATGTCCCAAGCCAATAATGGGGGAAATTCTAGGTCAGCGGATATATTATTCATTGGCTGTAGTTCAGTTTTCTGAATTGACACTGACCCCTGTGGTAGAAGAAAGGAGGGTAAAACCGGAAGTACTCCCCTTCTACCCACAGTCTTCAATCTGACAATCCAAACAGGCTAGCTTGCAGATTTGTAAATAGAAGGCAAGTTTGCAAATGAAATGCACATTTTCTTTTTCAAAGAGAAGGGAGAACCCAGAGGGAGAGGGTAAGAACACTCGGACAGCACCAGTAAACTGGTTGGTTTATTCTGAGTCTCAATGACAACCAATTCTACTTGGACCATATTCAGTTCTGAGATGCTGGCCCCCTTTTCAACGCAGGCCCTGAGAATACACAGCCCTTGACTTGCAATGATTCAAAGTATGATTTTTCAATTTTTCAATGGTGCAAAAGTGATATGCATTCAAAAGAAGTAAACTTTGAACTTTGATCTTTCCCTGGGCTAGCAATGACAGTACTCTCTCTCTCTCATAGCACCGGGCAATGGAAGCAAGTTGCCACAGCTTCCAGTCAGTCACATGATCATTAGGTAAATAACTAAATCTTTACAGTGTACTGTGTTGCTAGATTCTGATATTCAGCAGATTCAGCATATTAAGCGCATTTTGGCTTTATAATATTTTCAACTTACAAAGGGCTCATCAGGTTGGAACCCATTGTGAGTTGAGGAACATGGTGTAAATTTATGAGGAGTCAAAAAAAGATCAGAGTTTGATGATGAAAAAAAATCTGGCCACAGGGAATACAAAGCTGATCCTCACCATAGTGTAGAGGCTGTACTGCCTGTATCTCCCCTTAAGCCCAGAGGATAACTGGCAACTGAGGGAGAAGAGAGAGACAGGATTTTGGAGGCCTCACCTGCTTAATAAAGGTGATTGAAACCATGTCCCAGGAGACAATGCCATGGTCCATGAGCTCTAAGAAGGCAGTCAGGGTGAATGCCAGCATCTCACTGTAGCTGAGACATGTGCAACACACACACACACACACAAAATAATACAAAGATTCAGATCCGGAACACAAGTGTGAAGGCAGGCACAAAAGGGACAGATTTCAATGTAAACACCCCAGGGAAAATCAGCTGAAGGAGCTGTAACTGCCTGCATGCACACCCAGCCAGATGTGGAGCAGAGTCAGCCCAGGTCTCTATCATCAGGGGAGAAAGTGTAGCTGGGTGACTGGGCTTGCCTTCTCTGTGTTGCTTCATCTCAGGGACACAGAATCACTCATCTATTTCCCAAAACAAAAAAAAGACATCAGGTCTTATGTCCCATGTTAACCTTCAGGCCAAAAAGCAGCAGGGTGCAAGAGAAAGAGCCCAAGGCCTGGACGTGGGTTCAGTGCCTGCTTAACAATTTACTAACATGGACATTTTATTTTCTCAAAGTTCAACTCTGTCCTCTGTAAAACTGAGTTAGGCTCCCAGGGTTGTGGTGAAGGCAGCGGATACTGTACACAGAGCGTTACAGTAGTGCTGGAACAGAGTAAGGACTCAACTGTTCTTTCTTTTGTCTCTCCTTACACATTTAATCCCCCATGCACCTGTACAGCGATCTCTAGTTAGCAAACCATCTTCCCGTTTACCAGGCATGTTCAGACACATTAACCCTAATACTCCTCAGACTGCTATCGGAAGGCAGGCGTTATCCCCATTTTGAAGAGGTGGAAATTAAGGCTGGTCTACCCTCTACTCTCAGGAGGCTGCAGAACTCCTGCGTCAGTGCTTACGGCAGCCGAAGGCTTTAGGACTCTAACGCAGCTGGAAGATGAAGACTTACAACAAATACCTATGATTAGTCTCTCAGTTTGACAAGGAATTTCAGAAGCTGATCCATCGCCTGAGAGAAGATTTCTGACTCCCTGTATGCCAACTCAGGCTCCGCAGGCTTAGCTGGAAACCCAAGCATCTGTCCTTCACTGCTGATCACAGGCATGGCTCCCCACACATCTGCCTAACTCTGGAGGACTGTAAAGATCTCGTGGGGAGGCGGAGTTCTGGATCTCCTGCTCCCTAGGAAAGTGTGGCAGGAGATGGCTAATGGTAGGGGAAAGCTGTGGCAGACATGAAGGAAGGCGGTGTGCTTGCGTTCTCACATGAGGACAGGGTGGTAGGTGACTGGAGAAGGAGGGAGGCAGGCAGAGGGCTGTTAAAACAGTCGTCCATCCTGGGAGACAAGGGGCAGTCTGGTCTGATCACTACCCCTCATTAAGCCAAGCATGTCCCATACATTAGCAGGTCTGTCATGGGCAGATCTCTTCCTTCTTGGCTTCTGTGGTCTCTGTTTTGACAGTCCCTTGGCATAGTACCGTTTTGTACTGTTACTTAATTTGTGAGAGCACAGCCAGGTCTGAGATGTAGGATCACAACAGTGACTCAGCCCTCTCCGTATGGACTCTAGTGTCCAGAACACTGCTCTGTGTGCAGAGGTGGTGGTAAACTCTTACCTCACTCAGTAAAATGAGAACAGGAGGCCCTGCAGTGTGGTAAAGCCTCTGAAATCCCTTGGAAGACGATAGTGATAATACTCACTGAGACAAGAGCTTGGTTCCACTTTCCACGAGCCTCGTCAGCACAACAATGCCATCCATGTTGATGAACTCAGTGGCAAAAGTCACGTCAGCCGAGAGCTTGGCCAGTTCCTTCATGGCATCCAGCCGGGTCTCCATGCTGGATGACTGGGTCCTCTCCATCAGCTGGCGTGCAGCCCGGGACTAGGGGACCAGGGACAAAATACATGCCATCTGCTCCTTGTGGCAGGTGAGTGCTCTGTGGAGAGCTCACAGGGGCTTTTCTGTAGTCATCTGAGCCCCCAGCAGAGTTAGTTTTTCACACTGCTGAATATATGTTCACAGGATCAGCCAGGGAGTTCCAGCATGCAGCAAGCCGAGACCAATCTGCAGTTAACTGTGCCTTTTCTGTACCACCTTGGTCTATGGATTTTTAAACAAAAACAGCCCTACCAAGGAAATACAGAAAGATCTGGGAGATCTACTTACTATGGCAAGATGCAAGAGAAACAGACACTGGTTTAATAGGAGTTTTCTGTTAATTAATGTTGTCAAAGAGCAGAAGAGGTTTCTCGGAGGAACTAACTCCCTGTCACTGGAAGCAATTGATGAGAACCTGGACGACCATCTGTCAGATATGTTATAGAAGGAACTCGCACACTGGGTGGTGAACTGATCTGATGATCTTTAAGGTCTCTTTTAATCCTAAAATGTGATGAGCCTGATATTTTTTCTTAAAAAACTTTGCCTCAAAGTCCATGATCATTCCCCACAGTAACAGTCCTAGGAAAACAAAGAATCCAAGGAGTCCGATACCAACAACTTCAAAACAGCTTTGGAAAATGATGCCGGTGAAGACACCACTCTCTCCGCCACACCAACTTTTCCTAGTGGGACCTGCCTTCTTGCCACCAGCCACAGTTCAATCCCTCTTCTCCGTGAGCTCACCCCTTTCCTTGTGCTCGACTTAACAAGTTCACAGTCTCACCTCATCATTCTATATTTTTAAAATCTAACCTTCTCTGCTGGGAAGGAAGAGTCTGGGGAGCCAATACGCCCCCAGTCCTTTCCCTCACGCTGTTAAGCAAGTGACTGAAGCCCAGCTAGAGTCAAGCCCTTCTCCCTCCCCTTGCCTCTCCTCTCGTACTGTTGAAGAGGGCCCAGAGCAGCACAGCGCTCTCAGTGACACACAAATCCTCCAAATCCTACGGTAGAGAGAATGCGCTCCACAAGAAAAGGTCACAGGATAGAGCAATTTGAAGAGCACTGGTCTGCATCACACTTAGAAACTTCCAACCCAAATGTCAATTTTCCTCCAGAGACAGCATTTCTGGGCTCCTGCTCCAGAGAGATGAGCTTCTGGGAAAGTCAACTATTCCATGTGAGGTCTGTAAAATGCTTTGGTACTTCCAGAAAAGTACCTCCCAAACTGTCATGTTCAATTAGCAGAGTTTAGGAGGGGAGAATGAAGTTCTTAAGCTGAGAAGAGCTCAGGAGAGAAGGCAGAAAATCTTGACGGTGAAAAAACCAGCCCAGAGTCACACAGGGAAAGAGCCAGCTGGGACTACTTTTTAGCTGTGTGACAAGTGGCAAGTTATTTAATCTAAGTCCTCATGTCCCTGTCTGCAAAATAGGCCAATCTCATTGCTATTAGGATTAAATAACATACACAAACCATTATCAAAATATAGGCATTCAGTGTTCAGTGGTCTCCCTTCACACACCCCCCTCCTCTCAGGTGGATGAGGCTCTCCCTCACCGTGAAAACAGGCTCCCTCACACCCTTAATTTCCTGGAAGCCCTTCTACAAATGTGACCAAAGCTGCCTCCCTGGGAGGTCTTTTTTGTGGGACTGGCACTCAGAGTGGTTCCCTGCAACTGGGTTTTAGGTCCTCAGTGTCCTGATGTAGGAAGGTCCTGTTCTGTTAATTACCCACTCCTTCCTGCATCTTCAATCTTCCTCTCTCCCATCTTAACACCATCTCAAGGACACAAAAAACTGCAAAGGAAATCAACAGCCTCAAAGGGTCAGAAAGGTGGAGAACTAGGTATATGGGGTCCAAAGTAGGAGAGAGATCTACCACTAGATCTTTGTCAAACTATGATTTCTGAAACATATTAACCTTTTACCTGTTTTTTGAAAAGCATGTCTTTTTGACTCCACATCCTCCTTGAGTTACTGCCTTCTCCAGCTACTTCCTTTTAAAACCAAGCCTTTTAATACAGCAGTGACTCCAGGTCTTAACCTTCTTACCTTTTATTCAGTCCACTAATCTGGCCACCAGCTCTTCCCAGCAGAACTGTTTCTCACTTCTTTTTTTAAACTCGGTATTGAAAAACCCAGGAGTGCTTAATCACTGCCCTTTTATATTTTGTTCTGAGACAGGATCTTGCTAAATTGCTTAAGGCCTTGCTGAGTTGATGAGGCTGGTCTCGAACTTGTGATCCTCCTGCCTCTACCTCCTGAGCTGCTGGAATTATAGGCGTATGCCAGCAAACCTGGCCGGAACAGTTTCATAAAGATCTTATGTGCGCTTGACCTCCCAGGTCTGTTCTCAGTGTACCTTCCCTCTCTGCTTATTACAAACTGTAAACCACACCTTCCCCTATCCTGACTCTCTCCCCTGCCTTCAGCTCCTGAGTCACTTCACGCTCCAGGTTTTCTTTCTTCTCTTCCGGTGGCTTTTTTAGTTACCTTTAAGGGCTACTCTTGCAGAAGTCAGGGGTCATCTTGGATTCTCCCTTTGCCGTCTATATCCAGTTTTTCACCACAGTCATCAGGGTTGTCTCGTGAGTATTTCTCAGGTCCCTTCATGACCAATGGCCTCACTGGGATGCTAACGCTCCTCACCAGCCTCTGAGGTGCTCATCCTCCTACCAGCCTTCCTTCTTTTAGCCCATCTTCCACACTGTCATGAAAGTCGTCCCTCTAAAATTTAAATCTAAGTAGAACGTACCTTCCATCCTAAAATCCTCCAGTGTCACCACTTCCTTCTAGTGGACCATGGGCAGGACATGCAAGAGCTTCAGTACCTGGCTTCTCAGTGAATGCCACAGGCCTTCAGCCACCTTCCCGAACACACCTCTGTACTCTGACATCCTGACTTCTCTGCTTGGAAACTTTCATTTTCTTCTTTCTCTGGCAATTCTAGCTTATCCTTCAGCATCTCAGCTGTGTCCCGTTCTCTGGGAAGGCTTTCTGGAAACCCTCAGGCTGAGAAGGTGGTCCCTCTGAGTTCCCACAGTTCCCTTAGCAACTCCCTCCTGAGACCCTTGGGAGAGGTACATCCTATTCGTTTGTTTGCTGTCAGGAGGCTGTGAGAGCAAAGATCTACTTTTAATTGCCACAGTCCTAGATTCTGGGTCAGTCTGCCTGTGGTGCTCATGACTGTTAAATTAATAAACTCTTAAAGAGGGAAGAATACTTACCGGAGATATAGCCAATTGTAAGATTGTCCCATTCTTAATGTCACTTCGAGTCTGGAAAGCAAAGAAAAAAAAAGACAAAAAACAATGAAGATACTATATCAAAATAGCATAAGCAACCAGAACCGACAGGAACTTCTGGTCATCTTTAAAGTCTAGTCAGTTCTCCTTCCCACAGGTTCCACATCCATGGATAATTGGAACAATAGAAATTCTGAACAGTGGGATTTTTTTTCCTTGTCATTATTTTCTAAACAGCATAGTATACACCTATTCACAGTGTTGCCTTTGTATTAAGTATTATAAGTCATCTACAGATGATTTCAAGTATGAGTGGTATGGCCAGGTATGGTGGCATGTGTCTATAATTCCAGCTCCTTGGGAAGCTGATGAAGAAGAATCACAAATTTGAGGCCAGCTTGAGCAACTTAGTGAGACCCAATCTTAAAATAAAAAGTAAAAAGGGCTGAGCATATGGTTCAGTGGCAAAGCATCCCTGGATTGGATCCCTTATATTGGGAAAAAAAAAAAAAGTATGAGGGGATTACCTAGTCATATGCAAATACGGTGCCTTCTGAGCATCCACAGGTTTCAATATCCCTGAGGTCCTAGAATCAGTCCCTTGTGGATACTGAGGGATGAATTTAACTGACACTGATGCTTTTCAGCCCGACTCTCTCCTCTTGCTTGTTCCTTCTGAGAGCCTCTTCAAGCACCCTGGGCTCTCAGAAGTCAAATTCACTTTTTCCCAGTCACTGGAGGAGAGCAGGACTGGCGCTGTCTCTTTTACCCAGGGAATAACGCTTTACCCAAGAAATGGAGCTACCTGGATGTTAAGACCTGCACTGCTTCAGTCATCCCTGTACTAACCTGTTCCGTGATGTAGAGCTGGGGACCATCTGCATATCGCAGGGTGTAGTACTCTGGGTTTGGCAACGACCACCTACACAAAAGAAAATGGCTTATCTTACTTGGTCATTCCTTTGGGCCTATCCAGAAGCTGCAAATAAATAACTTTCAATAGAGTTGCTTAAGGGATTAGGTGTCTTGTTTGGATCACAGTGGAATTAAAACAAAGCTTTAGGTTGAGGGGTTGAAAAATAACCTCCTCCACCTTTGGTAAAGGGTAGTATCACAAAAGAAGTGCACACCACTGAGGGTGGGCCTTAGACCCTTCCAGGACTTCCATGGAACACTCCTGCACTTGGGAGAGCAAATGAAGATTCACAGCAGCCTCAAGGAAGCCTCATCAAGCACTCTTTCTTGGTAAGACAAGACAGCCCACAAGAGCCCACACAAGGGACTGCCAACTGGATACCCTGAAAAGTCCCTTTAGACTTGGTGCTCTTTAGGCTTTTAACTTACCCATCACAAACCTCCTTAATGATGGATGCTAGGGGCCGTTTCTGAAAGAAAAAGAGAGAGAGGGAGATCCTTTACCAGCAATCATGTGCTAGTTGTGCCAGGCTCTGAGAGGAGCTGCCAAGCAGGACCAGGTTGGGGTGCGGGAATAATTTCCTGACAGCTTTTGTTGAGGAGAAAGCCTCTTCCAAACTGTGATCCACTTCCTTGTGGGGCCAGGGGGAAAGCTCAGTCTTCCTGTTGCGTCCTTACCCTTTAGGCCTAAAGACTCCCTCTGCCACACACCCCCAGATCCCTTTACTTGCAGCGCTGCGTCTCATTTCTGGAGCATACCTGGTCAATTTCAAGGAGCTGGGCATTAGCACCTGGCCACTCGATGGCCACTTTGACGATGTCAGATGGTGGTGGCATCGTTCCCAGTGGGCCCTACTTCTCTAAGACACACACACAGACACGGCTGCCTGGGGAGAAAGAACAGGGAAGAAGGAAAAAGTAAGAGTATGCCTTCATTTTCATTCTTGTTATCTATTTTGGAGATACCGTCTGAAGTCACATATGGAACTACTTGGTTTGAATTTTTCTAGATCATACCAAAGCTCTCCTTGGGCCTTTGTCTCTTCAGATTAAATCAGCAAAAGAACTGGGACAAACCTATTTACCACCTACGGTTCAGCCAGTAGCACTATCTGTCAATGTGACACTTCAGTTGAAGGGTCAAGAGGATTTGGTGGTAGAAGAGCAAATTTTCCACAAATTCCTGTCTTGGGACCTCGGGATAGAAAAGCACATGCTCCAAGACAGACCAGAACAGACAGGCTCCTATTGGTCGAGTGGTTGGCTGAAGAAGCCAGGCTACTTCTGTTCAGCAGCATCCTGGAAAGACCCCAGTTCAGAAGGGCCCAACCACATACTCTCTGGTCTCCTTCCTACTTATTGCCATTACTTAATTGCCACTCCATTCCCCTCAAAGGACACAATGTGGCACCTCCTCTGTGTGGGATGATGCAGAGTTCAGAAAATGGGGAAGAGAACTGGGACAGGAAATGCTATTTTAGTCCCTACTGCCAAGGGCAAGGGCTGCTGAGGGCTTAGGCGCAGGGAAGCGGGAAGGATGCTTTCACACAAAGGCCCTTCTATGGGAGGACAAAGCTTTGGAAGTACCTCTGACCCCCCCTCCCCCACTTCTCTCTAAAATAAAGGAAAATAAATCATTTTGAGCAAGTCTGGGAGATGGGCCCATGTGACTGGTATCCTAGGCAACTCTGATCGCTTAGTGGTATTCTAAGCAGTAGCTAGAATCTCTCTCCAAGGTCTGACGAAGGGAAGCCTTGGCTGATGGATTATTTCAATGTATATTTACACTGCCTGCCTACAGATTCAGGAGAGGCCGCTCTCTTAATGAAAAAGACCTTTCTGCATCTCAAGGTTGAGCCACTCACCCGCATTTCATGCCTCACTAATGGGGACCACCCGCCTCTCCTGGTACATGCAGCATAGATGTTGCTAAGCTGTTATTCATGTGGGCTATCAATTTTTCAGCCCAAACAGATGATGGTTCTCACAGCCTGGCACCTACAAATCTCCCTGGTGAAAAGGGGGTAAAACCCCATTCCCTACATACCTACAGGCTTCAGAAAGATGGAGGCTTTCACAACCATTTCCTGATCAGGGTGGGCTACTTCAGAAGCCAGATGTCATATCAGCATTTCCAAGACTTGGCCATGTCAAATAAGTGGTTTTCAGAATGCTTTCGTTTATTTTGTTGAGTGTTCCCCGTAGCCCATGCAGTAGGCAGAATAGGGCTATTATCCCCATTTGAAGATGATGAAAGAAAAGCTCAGAGTTCTGTTCAGCCAAGAACACCCAGTTAGTAAGTGGCGAAGGAGAGACAGAACTTGAGAGCTGACTTGGCCAGGGCTCGTCCTCCTCCCCTCAGCAGGCCTGAATTCCTGTTCACTGTGAATCAAGGCTAAAGGTTTTGAAATGGGCTGACATGATGGCCCCCAAAGCTTCCACAACTTCTGCAGCTCCACGCAGACTTTTCATGTGGATTTATGTGCCTAACACACAACACACCTCTAAAAACAAACTGACTCATTAGTGTAACTTCCAGCTGAAAGGCTCTGCTCCAAAGCCAGGGCAAGGCAGGAAGTTCTCACGCTAGGTGTGGTGCTGGGACTCTGGGTGCTGCAGGTGGGCTCCTAAGCTTACTGTCCATCTGCTGTAATTGGGTGGCAGGACTACACAGTAGTGAGGTCATTTCTACAAACTGAGATATAATTACATACAATAAAATGTCACATGCTTAAGAATATGTGTGTGTGTTTACACATATACATAGTAGAAACACAACTACCTCCAATAAGATACTGGACATTTCATTACCCCCCAAAATACTCTGGAACCTCCTTCTTGTCCTTTCAAAGGTCACCTCTTCCTGGTTTCCATCACCATAGAAGAGTGGTGCCTGTTTCTATACGTCACATATGCCTTGTACAGCATGGCTTTTTAGACCATTTGTTACTTAGTTTGGTTTCTTCTTTTAAAAATAAGTAGACAGGGTAGGAATAGAGAGCACTAGGCTGGGATGACTCTCCGCTGAGGAAAGCAACTGGATTTACAGCCCCAGGACTTGGGACCTAATCCTAGTTCCCTCACACTGCGTTCAGGTCCCTTTACCCAAGACTCCATTTTCTTCTGCAGCAGCAGAACTGTAGTTCTCTAGTGTAGAACTAAAGCATGTCTCAAGTGCTCCGGAGTCTAAGTCCATGATTGTAAAGCAGAACTTAAAAAATCCAAATGAAGATACCATTGTAAAGTCCTTAACCAAAAAAATAAAAATAAAAGTGAAACTCCTAATTTAAGAAACTGCATATTTTTAAAAACTCCTTTCTGAATTCTATCTCTGGAGAAAAATAAGCTAAAGCTCAGTACTTTACAGATATACTTTCTCCTTGGTCCCATATGACATTCCCTGGGATGTCTCATCATTTGTTAAAGCTAGCACTGAATGGTTCTTAGCAGTTCTGAAAACTCACACCCATGTTAAGTCAGAGATCTGCAACAACCCAGATTACCCAAAAGATATTAATAAGCTCCCATTCTCCCAGAAACCCCAGGCAGCCTACCTGGGCTGCACGACACTATCCCTAGCCCTGCCACAGCTGCTGGGACTAAAGAGTTGGAAAAAGCCCTTCCAGATTCCATGGCTATACTTCCTATGCTTGGGCTACCTGATATTCCTGACATTCTATCATCACAATTCCTTAAATTAAGCTAGTCTGTGTTTCTGTTTGCTGCAACTAAAAAGGCGAAGAGCAAGACTGACCCCAAGCTCTGAAGAATTCTGAAGTGGAGGTAAGAAAATAGAGCAACATCACTAGCATAAGATAATGACACTGAGTACGCACCTAATTAACACTAAACTGATGAGAGCAAAACCCACTTTGATAAGTCTGGCTTGTTGCAAACAGATCAGTTACTTTGACTTTGAAGTACTCATATTATAGCATTTTATAGTTGATCTCACAAGAACCCTGGAAAACATTCCTATTTTACAGGTGAGGCAAACAAAGTTCAGAGGGGTTGAGAAATTCCTTGTCAATGTATCTCCTTTCATGCCCTCCTCCAAAGAAACCAAACAGTCCATCATAAAAGAACTGGGTCTCAAGGTTAGGCCCTGGCACCACAGTTCTCTACACAGTAGTACTTCCTTTGATGATGACACTAGCTAGGTAACAATTACACAATGCTCAGCACTGCTCTAAGGGCTGTACATATATTGATTCACTTAATCCATGATGCACCCTGTATGGTGTGTTGTTATCTCCGCCATACAGACAGAAAAGTGAAGTAGCATTTTGAGGGTCACATTGTTAGTTAAGTGGCACAGCCAGAATCTGATCCCGGTGGTCTGGTGTTTTTGGAAAGTCATGTGAAAGCAGAGAGCTTTGTACCTAATCCGCAGCAGGTACTCTATAGAGACTTCTGGTTTGTGTATCTAAAGTTAAAGCACAATGACGCTAAGAGACCTGTATGATAAGGGTTCTCTGTTGCAGCAGAAAGGTCCTTGATGGCCTAAAAACATTACTTCATGCAGTGCTCAGTCTGCAATCTGGTCAGCCTTTTCCCTGGACCACCTGCGATTTCTACAGGCAGGCCATGTTCTCTTCGGTACCTCTGCACATTTTCTTCCTTCACTGACTACCAGAGATGCCCCTAGCCAAGCTTCAAAGTCCAGCTCAGATGGTACCTTCTCTTTGTAACATCCTTAGCTTTCTCTACCTTTCTCAGCAAAGCTAAATAGGATAGGGGCCTCTGTCCCTGCTTCTGCGAACAGCCCTGTAACACTCAACAAGACATGGACATAGCTCTCCTGTTCCCTAGCTCTTCCTCCATGTCAGGTATAGCTGGGTGGTCTCATGAACTAGCATGGCACCTGATGAACAGTGAAGGTGCACAAACACAATGGCTCCTAGGAAACAGGTCTGCTTCCCAAGGGAAAGAATGGCAGGAAATGTTCAAGTAGTTCTACTCTTGTACCTCTGTGTCCCACTGCCTTCCAGCTGGCAGGGAACAGACAGAGGTGAGTGATGGGAGCATGAGGTAAAGGGAATAATTCTGTAAAGTGGGTCCACTGTGCTGAACCCCACATAAAAAAAAACAATTTACCTGCAGCCCTGTCTGGTTTAAGTTAACAGGATATGTTACATTTCTTTGCAAATAATCTGCAGGAGAAATGCAGGCCCAAAATGCCAGGTAAAAAGAATACAGGTTATCGTGAAGGGGAGACTTATGTGATCCTTACACAAACCAGATTCCAGAATTCAGGGATTTAAAGATAATTCCCATTAACCATAAAATCTGTAAGAACAGGTTCCAATCAGAACTGATCAGCATGGGCCAAAGTGATCTAGAGTTGTCATGCACAGCAGGGTCTTGAAAGCCTGATGTCATCCTGCTGTCAATCAAAAATCAAGAGGTAAACCTGGGTAGAACTTTCTGGAAACTTCCCTGGGACCCCCAATAAAAGAGGAGGGCAGGACAGGCATGTCACCCTTCTCCTCTGAGAGCGTCCCCCTTTCCCCTCTCCTATCTATCCCTTCTAATAAACTCATGCCTATTAGTCTGAGTGATGGGTCTCAAGTCTTTCTGGCATGATTTTAAGTATACGAGTGAAGGGGACCTTTGCAGCTGCTTCAGTTTTGCAGAAGGCCCACACCTTATAACACAACCACACAGTATTTCCATGTTTATAATTTTGTTTTATGTTTTCTAACATTAGAACAAATTTTACTTGAGAATCAGTCTTAGCACCTCTGACTTTGTTAAAACAAAGAGGGAAATATCTTCTGCTTTTCTCTCTATGGAAATCTTAGGAGGTATGAGAATAGAGTAATATTTCTCAGATAATTAATATTCCTAGGATAAAGGGTTTCCTTGTAGGGAATCCTTCAAGCAC